TAGCATTGGCACATTTAATTAAAACAGAAAAGAGAACACATATTTTGCCTTTTCTTCTTGATTTTCTCCTTGTGGCATATTACTAAACCTCTGTAGTTCAGCTATTTTTTTTTACTGAGCTGTAATTTACAAGTACATACCTTTTTTTATTTTTTTTTTATTTTTTATTTTATTTTTTTTACAAATAGTTTATTGTCAAATTAGTTTCTACATAACACTCAGTGCTCATCCCCAAAGTGCCCTCCTTCATGCCCATCCCCCCCTTCCCCCCACATCCATCAGTCCTCAGTTTTTGTCAGCATTCAAGAGTCTCTCATGGTTTGCCTCTCTCCCTTTCCCCCACCATTTCCGCCCTTCTTCTCCCCCTTGTTCCTCCGTCAAGTTCCTCCTAATCCTCCTATACGTGCACACATATGGTATTTGTCCTTCTCTGCCTGACTTATTTCGCTCAGCATAACACCCTCAAGGTCCATCCATGTTGCTACACATGGCCAGATTTCATTGTTTCTCATTGCCATGTAGTATTCCATGGTATAGATAAACCACATCTTCTTGATCCATTCATCTGTTGATGGACACTTAGGCTCTTTCCATGTTTTAGCTATTGTGGAGAGTGCTGCTATGAACATTGGGGTACATGTGCTCCTATGCCTCAGCATTTCTGTATCCCTTGGGTAAATTCCTAGCAGTGCTATTGCTGGGTCATAAGGGAGTTCTATTGTTAGTTTCCTGAGGAACCTCCACACTGTTTTCCAGAGGGGCTGTACCCGTTTACATTCCCACCAACAGTGTAGGAGGGTGCCCGTTTCTCCACATCCTCGCCAGCACCTAGAGTTCTCTGATTTGCTCATTTTAGCCACTCTGACTGGCGTGAGGTGGTATCTCAGTGTGGTTTTGATTTGTATTTCCCTGATGAGGAGGGATGCTGAGCATCGTTTCATGTGTCTGTTGGCCATCTGGATGTCCTCTTTGGAGAAGTGTCTGTTCATGTCTTCTGCCCATTTCTTCACTGGGTTGTTTGTTTTTCGGGCGTGGAGTTTGGTGAGTTCCTTATAGATTCTGGTTATTAACCCTTTATCTGATATGTCATTTGCAACTATCTTTTCCCATTCCGTTGGTTGCCTATTAATTTTCTGGGTTGTTTCCTTGGCTGTGCAGAAGCTTTTAATCTTGATGAGGTCCCAACAGTTTATTTTTGCTCTCGATTCCCTTGCTTTTGGGGATGTGTCAAGTAAGAAGTTGCTGCGGTGGAGGTCAAGGAGGTTGTTTCCTGCTTTCTCCTCTAGGGTGTTGATAGTTTCCTGTCTCACGTTCAGGTCCTTTATCCATTTTGAGTTTATTTTTGTGCATGGTGTGAGAAAATGATCTAGTTTCATTCTTCTGCATGTTGCTGTCCAGTTCTCCCAACACCATCTGTTAAAAAGGCTTTTTTCCATTGGACCTTTTTTTATTTTTAAAAATATTTAAATATGAAATGACTTAGAGGATTTAAGAAAAATTGCCTCTCAAGTATAAATTTACCCATTTTGCTGTTAAATGTGAAATTATAAACCTTGCTTCTACTGTAATGTACAACTTAACAGATTTTAGAAAGTAATTTGCCCTTTCAGACTATTTCAAACATTTAGAATTTTGTGTATGGTAGTTGATTTGCTGTGGTTGTTGTGATCTTTATTGACATTTGATTTGACTCACTTGCTTCCTATAGAAGATGTTGAGTAATGACTATTTAGAAATGATTCTGTCATGCTGTTTTATAAAATTATAGCCTGTAAACCATAATACAGAAATCCCAAGGGTCTTTTTCTAGATTTTTAGCTGCTAAAATTTTAATTGACTTAAAATGTCCTAGAAAAATAATTCAGTGACAATGAGATAGATTTGGTGTTTAGTTAAGAAAAATATAAAGTCACAGTTAAGTCATTAGAAAGGCCATTATTAAGTTGAACATTCACCACAATCTAACCAGTGTTGAATTAAATTATAGCATTTGGACTCAGTGTAGAGAGTCTGAATTGGTTTATTAACCAGAGTTGCAATAAAACAGTATAGCACAGTGGTAGTATTATGTATCACAGTGATTTCCAACAAATCAATGTTTGTTTAGCTTGATGTCTGGTTAAGTAAGTGTTTAGTTGACAGTACTTATTCAGGTTACTTAACATGAATAGGTATTGTTTCAGGGTCTCTCATGCAGTATTACCAGATTGCTGGATCTAAGTGTATCCATAGGTACATCATGAGATTATATTTGTCCTATTTCTTTGTGCTTATTTTATCACAGAGATAAATATTTCTATGTTTATTATGATAAAACATGAAAAAAAAACTGCCATAAGTCATTTTGTCTAATTTTTTAAAGAGTTTAAGTAGTCTAAGTAAATTTCAAAGGAAAAGTCTTTAAAAAATCATGTACCGTTGAAACTTTTTTATTCTTGTTTAGGTAATAGTCCATTTCAAGTCTTTGTAAATAAATGGCATTATAGATCTATGAGAAATGTTGACTTATAGTTACTAACAGATTGCCCTGAAACTTAATTTAGTAGCACAGCAGACATTTATCAGCTCATGACATTTATCATTCCCGTGTCAGGAAATTAGGAGCAGCTGAGTCGAGTATTTCTGCCTCAGAATCATGAGATTGCAGTTAAGCTGTAGATCAGTTCTATAGTCTTCTGAAGGTTCACCTGAGACTGTAGAATCAGCTCCCAAGCTCACTCGCATGTGGTTACTGGCAAGAGACCCAGTCCTCTGGCTGTTGACTGGAGCTCTTGTTTCATTGCCACATCATACTCTCCTTAAGGCTGCTTGAGTGTCCTTGGAACATGGCGGCTGATTTCTCCAGAGGTGAATCCAGAAAGAAAACAAGGAGGATGTCACAGTACCTTGTATGTCCTAGTCTCAGAAGGTATACGGTCACTTCTGCTGTTCTGTTTAGTGCTTAAATTTAGTTAAGCACCTAAATTGAGCCCACTCCCCAAAGGGTGGGGAATCAGGCTGTACCTTCTGAAGGGAAGAGTGAAGAATTTGAAGATGTACTTAATTATCACAGCAGTGTAGAACAGGAAGTCTTACAGCATATGGTAAAATGCTGTACTATTTTCTTAATAGAGTAGTTGTCAATTCTGACACTGTATTTAGACTTAACCTGTTCAGCCTTTATGAAACAATGAAGTAAAACATAGGTGGTTGAATTAGGCCTCCTGTTGATTGACCTGCATTCCGGTTTTTCCATAGGTGTTTCTGTTGTACAACCAGAGCTGTTCACTGTCAGTTTTTAAGATGTACTTTTTGATTCAGTGATATAGGTTATTGCTATACTTTTGCAGAACTGAACAGAATAGAGCTAAATACAGTATCTACAGTTCATAGCACAAACTAGGTTAGTAGATAATAGTGCTTGGCTATTGCTAGTATTTTATTGTTATTCACCCTAACTTGTAAAATGATCATTAGTTAAATAGGTAATAAGCTTAGTTGGAAAACAGTTATCTGGCTTTTTGTGAGAGTGGGCATGGCTCAGACATCAAAAACTTTCTCCCCTCACTCTATTCTTCCTTCACTTAATCCCCACTACCTCCTCCCCCAACTCCAAAAAAAAAAAAACCAATAATCATATTTGTTTATACTTCCACATGTTTATTATTCAAACATAAGCCAATCCAAATATATAATTTTTTCTCTTTTCCCCACACAAATGATAACGTGATACCCAGTTTTTTCTACCTTTTTAAACTTGCCTTATAAACTTAACAAATTGATAGGGAAAATTTCTCTGCTGTAGGAAAACGTCTTCATTCTCTTTTGCATCTTTTTGGTGTATCCCGTTTCCTTGTGTAGATTTAGTATACTGTAGTTTCTTTTTCTAGTCCTCCATAAATGGACATTTGCATTTTTATTTGCAGTCAGTGTGACAGTGAATGACTTGTCCATGTGTCATGTTGAATATGTAAGTATGTCTGTAAAGTACCTTCAGAGAAGGAGACTTGCTGTCATTTGCACTTGTGATTGTAAAGCTGCCACACCTGAGGGACTACCACTGTCTTCACAGCAGCCAGGGTTTGAAAAAACTGCTTGCATGCTCATATTCTTATCTCCAGACTATATTTTCATATTTTTAGATTTTGCCAACTTTATAACCAAAAATAGTATTTCAGTATAGCTTAAGTTTGAATTTCTCTTATGGATGAGGGTGTATTTTTACTCATATTTAGACTTACTTTTTTTTCTGTTTAGGATCTATTTGTATTCTTTGTATTGTCTTCTTTTATGGTTTGGTTTTACTAATAGAAACTCTGCATATTAGTAGAATTCACCGTTTGCAGTGAGTTAAACAATTTGAGCTTTTTAAATTTGTCTTTTGATTCTTTTCATTATGAAGTTTTTGCCCTTTTTCGTATAATTAAATTATTCTTGTTATGATAACTTGCCATAACTCAGAAAGTCTTCACTAGTCCAGAGTTATAAAATAACTGTCTTGTTTTTTACCTAATGCTTTAGTGCCCTTTATAAAATCTAAAGTCATATATTTCTAGACTTTTCTATTATTAAAGTAATATACTATGTAGTGTGTTTTCAGGTTTTACTTTTAGTGCCCTCTTTGTCTGGGTTTTCCTAGCTAATTTAGTTCTTGGGTTGGAGGGGAAGCCTTTTTGCATTTTTATTGGTGCCACATTAATGTTAGTTTTTGATGTTTCAATACTATTTTTACTTTGTTATAACTTCTCTTTTTAATGATAGTAAAACCTACTGAGTTTTTAATACATATGTTAGTGTATATGTGGAAGGATACTGAGTAATGGCTACATATATCATGAAAAATATATTACTGTAAGGGAGAACTTCTATTTCTTCATTGCCTTATGGGCTAGATGCTTTTTACATATATTAACTCACTTAACTATCATACTGACTGAAGTCAGTTTTATAACTGGAGTTTTTAGAGTGTCCAATTGTGTATGGCTAAATTTCCTTCAACATTGCTTTTTTTTTTGTTTCAGCTGTGATGCAGATCCATCAGCCCTAGCAAAATATGTTCTTGCTTTGGTAAAGAAAGACAAAAGTGAAAAAGAGTTAAAGGCATTATGTATTGATCAACTGGATGTATTTCTTCAAAAAGGTAAAATCTTCAGTTAAAAAATACTAATTTATTTTAATAAATCATTTAAAGCAAAATTTTCCACAATATTAAAGAAACTCAGTAAGAGAATAGGCTCTAATTGTCATAAACCATATCATTACTGATGATGGCTGTATATGGAAACTTTTTTTTCATTAACATCTTTATTCTCTTAAAGCATGCCGATAATTTTCCTTAAGAGATTAGATAAATGACTGAATGCTTGTTTATTTAAAAATAGCATTGCTTAAGAAACTGCTTTGAATGTTGTCTAGATAGTGTTTCTAACTTTTTTCACTTTGCCACCATTTAGGTAATGGTAATATTTATGTTTGGCACACAGGGCACGGGGTACATGGAGACTAGTCATGGCTGGAAGCAACTGGCCTAGAAGCTCTGGCTATCATGTCCCACTTCCTGAAATTGAATGGATTAGTATTACTATAGGATTTGTGCCATGGCACACTTGTTGGAAAGCTCTTGGTCTTAGTATTCTAGAGTTATAAAAGTCAGTGTATATTTCATCATATTGGACACTGATGTGTAGAGGGGGAAAATTGATATCTTAGCAAATCTCTTTAATCTGTGGTTTTTTGGTTTTATATTTAGAGACACAAATATTTGTGGAAAAACTTTTTGATGCTGTGAATACAAAGAGTTATCTACCTCCTCCAGAGCAGCCATCATCAGGAAGCTTAAAGGTAGAATTTTTTCAGCACCAAGAAAAAGATATAAAAAAAGAAGAGGTAAGGATTTGTGTTAAACCTTAGATGTTCTTTAAAAGCATGTTAGGAATGGGGCACATGGGTGGCTCCATTGATTAAATGTCTGACTTCGGCTCAGGTCATGATCTTGTAGTTCATGAACAAGTTCGAGCCTCACATCCAGTTCTGTGCTGACAGCTCAGAAGCCGGAGCCTGCTTTAGATTCTTCGTCTCCCTTTCTCTCTCTGCCCCTCTCCCACTCATGGTCTGTCTGTCTCTCTCCCTCTCTTAAAAATAAACATTAAAAAGTTTTTTGAAAAACGTATAAGGAATAATTAAGCTGAATTTTATTTTTTTGTACTTGTGTCAAGATTCCTCAAGAACATCCCTTGGAGCAGTCATAGGATTTAGCCTGTAGTCATACTCATGGCTGTGATTTCTTACAGCAAAATCAGCACAGGGAGAAAGTGGGTGTTGCAGAATCTGGGGGAAAACAGGCACAAGCTTCCATTAGCTTCTCCCAGTGGAGTCACTGAAGATCTTAACAAGTAGTTCAACACATATGAACCAGGAAGCTCTTAGCAACTCAGTGCCCAGGGTTTCTATTTAGGGCTGGTCACAAATGTGCCTTCTGCCTGCTGTGTACCAGCATTCCAAATTCCCAGAGGAAAGAGTGTGTTCAGCCTAAAACCATATTATTTCCACAAACAATCAGGCATTCAGTGAGCTGCTATTGTCAGGGAATGATGGGAACCCTCCAGAAATCAAAGTTCACAGATACCAGCCAAGAGCTTATCTTATAATAAGGAGGCCTTTCTGAGACTAATTGTCTCAGGCTTACTTTTAACTCTTTTATGCATAGTATCTTAAAGCTACGGACTTGCATAAAAGAAGGCTTTTGAACAGTGTTTCTCAAAGTTTGGCCTGTTGATAGGGTCTCCATTTGTCATCCAACGTAGGACACTTTTGACAGTGAGAGGCCCTTCCCCAGAGGAGTATTGGAACAACTGGCATAAACTGAGACACAGTTACATTATCCTGCAGACTGCCTGCATCAGAATGTCTTAGAGTGCTTGCTAAAAATGGAAAACCTTGAGCCCTGTTATATTTACAGAAGCCACATGTTCAATATTTCCTCTATTTGTTTATCCTCTAAATCTTTTTTTCTAGGAACACCTGTTAAGGTCTTATGTAACCTGTGTTGTAGACAGTACAGCATGGAAAATTCTGGCTTCAGAAGAATAGCATTGATAAAAGGAATATTTTCCAGTGGTGCTTTCTGTTAATAAAGTAATATGAATAGAGGTCCCTTGTAGGAAGAAGGAATATATAGCTGCCATACTGCTATGAGAAACTTGAAGAACGGTTTCACCTTATTTATTGTTTTCTCATATGTCTCTTTTTCTGACTTGGTTAGCTCTTTTTTTTTTTTTTTTTTTTTTAATTTTTAAAATGTTTATTTACTTTTGAGAGAAAGAGACAGAGCACAAGTGGGGGAAGAGACAGAAAGAGAGAGGCAGACACACAGAATCCGAAGTAGGCGCCAGCCTCTGTGCTGTCAGCACAGAGCCCGATGCAGGGCTTGAAATCACAGACACTGAGATCATGACCTGAGCCAGAGTTTGACGCTTAACCAACTGAGCCACCCAGGCGCCTCTTGACTTGGTTAGTTCTAATGCATTTTCCTATATTTCCTAATGTGTTTGGTGCCAGACCAAATTCATGAAACCGAAACATGAATGTATGTTGGAATTTTGAAAGAAGAATAAAAATGGCTTTAGACTAATAATGTTAAAATGAGGACACTTGTCTAAGTGTTTTTTCACAACTGTTATTATCTAAGATAAACATTTTTGAGTCTGTTTTGAATTTAGCCTTCAGCAAGCCTTTTTTCTTTCGTTAAATAAAATGGTAATACTTAGAAATTTATTTTAATGCTTTTAGAAGAAAACCGTTTCACTTTTGTGTTTTAATATCAGTTAAATTACTGAAATAGCAATATGGCAAGGAATAACTTGCTAAACTTATGCAAATTTCTCTTTGTATATCAGATCACAAAGGAGGAAGAGCGAGAGAAGAAGTTTTCCAGAAGGCTAAATCATAGTCCTCCCCAGTCAAGTTCCCGATACAGAGAAAATAGGTGATCAATTTATTGAACCATGTTCACTGTTTAGACATTGGATACCTTTTATATGAATGCTTAGACTGATTATCTTTTGCTTATCTTCTACTGGTCTAGGACAGTGCAGCTCAGTCCTTTCTTACCAAGAATATTTGTGTCAGATTTGTAGGTCCTGGAAGTGAGGTTTAGAAAAATGCTTGGCATACATTAATTATTGCTGTTGTTTTATTTCCAATTTCAAATTCCAGTGAAATCTTAATGTGAGAACTTTTTTTGCATGAAGTTTTCCTTTAGTGTGAATAAATTATTTTTCCCCACTAAGTCTTCAAAAACATCTAGAGGGCAATATATGTGATACATGCCTGTAAGTATGAGGTTAAAATGACAAGACAATATGTTCTATATGACATGATGTATAGATGCTAAATGTAAAAATGTCTTTGTGTATAAGACTAAGGACTGAGTTATTTGAGAAGGGTTTTTTTTTTTTTTCCCATTAAATAGGTTTTAGAGTTCTTGAGCAGATCATGTTCAGTTTTTCAGTTTGAGTTTCCTATATTTGTGGTGGGATAAAGAATCATAATGTAAGAGTTAAATATTGCTTTTTCTTTAATGATTTTTTTCCTGTATTCACTTAAAAATTATTTCCCTAAAAGTGATCATTTATTTCTTTAGAAGTCGTGATGAGAGGAAAAAAGATGATCGTTCTCGGAAAAGAGATTATGACCGAAACCCTCCTCGAAGAGACTCCTACAGAGACCGGTACAATCGAAGGCGAGGCCGAAGTCGCAGTTACAGCAGGAGTCGGAGTCGAAGTTGGAGTAAAGAGAGGCTTCGTGACAGGGACAGGGATAGAAGCAGGACCAGAAGCAGAAGCAGGACACGAAGCCGGGGTAAGTAACTCATAAATATGTATGTTCTGATCAGCATTCTTCTGTTGTGAAAAGCTGTATTTGAGTGGTTTAAAAATGGTTTTAATTTTTGTCAGTGTAGTCTTCATTTTTTCCATTTTGATGTATTTTGTGGTCCAAGTAAATGCTTTTTTAAAAATTTCTTCAAAAAATTTTACTTCCTGCAAACTATAACCATAGTGAATCACCATTGCGTGCCTATCAGAATGACTGAAAGTGAAAAGGCTGACTATCTAGTCTTAGTAAAGTAAGGGTAGAGATAAATTAAACTCTTTGGAAAATACTTTCATATTATCTTAAAAATTCAATTTACATGTACTGAATGACCCAGCCAGCCCCACTCCTGAGGATTTAAGTAAGAGAAACAAAAGTGTATTTCTACACAGAGACTACATGAGGACATCATGCACAGTACATGTGCATCATGGTACGTTCCTTTGTAATAGCCAAAAACTAGAAACAACTCAGATATCATGTGAATGGGCAAACATGTGATGTATCTGTACAGCAGATGAAAAGAACAGAACTTTGGATAATGTGTATGACACAGGATGGATCTCAAAATAATACTGCTGAGTGAAAGAAGCTAGACAAGAAAGAAAATATAAAATTTTAGAAAATGCAAATTAATCTATGGCGATAGGAAACAAATCTGTTATCACCTGTCATGGAGTAAAGGACAGATGACTTATTAAGGAGCACTTATTAAGATGACTTATTACGAGTATGTATTAGTGCATATATTATTTTGGTTACGGTGTTTGGTCTCACAGGTGTATATATAGATAAAGTTCATTAAATTGTATAAGTATATTGTTTATACCTTAAAATTAAGAAAATAGTTAAAATTCTCATTTCAGATGTATGTATTTGCAAGAATGTCATTTCCAACATAAATAGTTTTTCTTCCAGTGTGTATTGAAAGGAAGACACTGTAGGAGATAAAACAACTAAAACACCTTCAAATAAAATACCTTTACTCAAGCTTAGATTTTTTGCTACTGTTTCAGCCTCTATTGTACAGTCACCTTTAGTCATTGGGAGATAATATTTCTATTATACAAAGTCTGCATATAGTTTATACTTCTCTACTTTTTCTTAGTGTTTTCCCCTTCTGTGATCTAGGTGTACTAGGCCTTTCTGTATGTCGCTTTAGGTAACTAATCTCCTTAATCCTTTTCTCTCTCCTTGGGACCATAGACAGACAGCCCAGTTAATGTTTTTGTTCATGTTTAATATGAACTTTTATCCTTCCTCTTTGCTCATCCATTTCTATCTTCAAACCATAGCTTTCACTACTAATAGTATTAATAGTGTATATAGTATTTATTAAAAAGGCATGCTAGGAACTTTAGGTAGGTGACAATTAAATGTTCATCACAGAAAAAATAAGCATACTTTAGTTGTATGTTTTGCGGGCTGAAATTATGCATACTGAGATTGTAGTGAAGAAAATAAATCTCTTTTCTGTAAACAGAAAAAAATGCTCATTAAGTATAGCAACGTGATGTATATAGTTTCGGTCATATTGAAAAGAAACTGCTTATCTTGGAACATTGTGTATTCATTTAGTTGCTTTTAAAAGAAAGGAGGATTGTGTAAAATTTGAACTTTTTTTCTCTTTAGCAAAAATACCACTGTTTTGTAGATTTGGGACTTACTTTTAATAGAGTAGAGTTTTATAAGTCATTTCTATTTTGTTGCAGAACGGGATCTAGTAAAACCTAAATACGACCTGGATAGAACAGATCCACTAGAAAACAATTATACTCCAGTCTCTTCGGTACCCAGTATATCATCTGGTCACTACCCTGTACCTACTTTGAGCAGCACTATTACAGTAATTGCTCCTACTCATCATGGTAATAACACTACCGAAAGTTGGTCTGAATTTCATGAAGACCAAGTGGACCATAACTCGTATGTAAGACCACCAATGCCAAAGAAACGGTGTAGAGACTATGATGGTGAGTCTTTCTGCTGTTTCATGATGTATTGAATCAGTATTTCCAGTTGACTGAATTCTGTGAGTCTAGGTTTTATAGTTATTCAAAGATGGTTAACCTGTTGGAAATGGTGGTAAATTAGTCTGAGGCGCTTCTTGAATTCGTCAGTATTGTTTAAATAAATCTTCGCTAGTCACCACTGACTGTTGTATGTCAGTTTAAAGATATTGCTTATTTACACATAAATCAATACATTTTTGAAGTTTACCGAACAAAAATAATATCTACTGAGTTATTTGAGAATCTGCTACTGAAACATTCTTGACAGAACTTACTTCTTTAGAAGTAAATGCTCATTGGCATGTAAGCAGAACCTAAAAATGTGACTCTCACCTGCATAAGAATTTTATTAATGAAGACTTTTAAAGTTTTACTGTAAAAGTTTGTAATTTATATTAAAGCTGTAGTTGCAAAATTCTTAAAGTTTTAAGTAAGATTTAAATGAAATATTTCTAATGACAAAAAGTATGTAAAAGTTTCACATCGTGAAGGGTTTATATTATGTCTTGCTAGCTAAGTAGACTCATTTTAATTTGGTGATATATTTTTTAATGTGTGTGTTAGCTATATTATCTATTTTTTTTAAATGTTTGTTTATTTTTGAGAGAGAGAGCATGAGCAGGGGAGGGGCAGAGAGAGGAGGAGACACAGAATCAGAAGCAGGCTCCAAGCTGTCAGCACAGTCACAGGGCTCAAACTCACAAACTGCGAGATCATGACTTGAGCCAAAGTCAGATGCTTAACTGACTGAGCCACCCAGGTGCCCCTGTATTATCTACTTTATAATTATTTTATATCACTGGAAATTAGCTCGTGTTATATTGAGTTATACTGGCCCAGCATTAAATTTTTAAAATTTTTGAATATCTAACCTTTGTTAACTTATAGAAAATGTATATGTATATATCCACCACTTGCCATATTTCTAATTATTCTTCCTTACAGAAAAAGGTTTCTGTATGAGAGGAGACATGTGCCCTTTTGACCACGGAAGTGACCCTGTAGTTGTAGAAGATGTGAATCTTCCTGGCATGCTGCCTTTCCCAGCACAACCTCCAGTTGTTGAAGGACCACCTCCTCCTGGACTCCCCCCACCTCCACCAATTCTTACACCCCCACCTGTGAATCTGAGACCCCCAGTGCCACCACCAGGCCCATTACCACCCAGCCTTCCACCTGTCACAGGTAATTAAATATATTTGCTTGCTGGTGCCTAATATCTGTCTATTCATAATCTTTTTAAAACATTAATGGTTTGGTGATTACTTTTGTTAAAAATATCTAAAGTAATCCTATAGATGCTTGCTAAACACTGAGAGCAAGATACTCTTATTTAGAATATACTCCCACTTTACAGGCTTTGCCAGACCTATGGTTTACCATGGTTTGGAGTGGCCTTGACTTAATGCACATCCCTGATGAATCCCAGCTGCCAGTAGTCCTGTATAGCTTATAAGACAGACCCGTTTTGGAATTCATTAACAGGATATTTTACATTGGAAAATTAATATAGTTGTAAGACTCTGGAGTTTGTAGATATTATAATTTTGCTGATAAATGAGAATATCATGTTTGGATATACAGTAACTTATTTTATTTGTTTGCTTTCAGATGATATTTCTTATTCTTTGGTTTTGACAGGACCACCACCTCCACTTCCTCCTTTGCAGCCATCTGGCATGGATGCTCCCCCAAACTCCGCAACCAGTTCTGTTCCTACCGTAGTAACGACTGGCATCCATCACCAGCCTCCTCCTGCTCCACCCTCTCTTTTTACTGCAGGTGCAGTTTTGCCCCTCTTTGTATTCATAATGTAATGAAGTTTTAGAGCAGAGTTTTAGGGAGGAATTTAAAGATGTCCAGACTAGCTCTTTTTCTCACTAAAATCATATAGAACAAGATGTAGACATAGTGAATGTATGTTAAATGCAAGTCCTTATTTGTTATTTTTTTTTAAAAAAACTAAGTTATATTTTCTGTTTAATAATATTTTCATTAAAAAAAATTTTTTTTTAATGTTTTATTTCTGAGAGAGAGACAGTGTGAGCAAGGGAGGGTCAGAGAGAGAGGGAGACACAGAATCTGAAACAAGCTCCAAGCTCTGAGCTTGCTGTCAGCACAGAGCCCGCGGTGGGGCTTGAACCTTGAGATCATGACCTGAGCCAAAGTCGGACGCTTAAACGACTGCGCCACCCCGGCGCCCCACATTTTCATTTTTATAAAACTAAAATTTCTTTTTAATACATATAGCATGTTAGCTATAAATTAAAATAGAATATGTTGTGTAATGTACTTTTTTACATCAATGTGAAAAAAAAATTACCAAATGGCGTTTTATAATTGTTTTTTAATTACAGTTTTTGTATTACCAGATACATATGACACAGACGGCTACAATCCCGAAGCCCCAAGCATAACAAACACTTCCAGACCTATGTATAGACACAGAGTGCACGCACAGAGGCCTAACTTGATAGGACTGACGTCAGGGGATATGGATTTGCCACCCAGAGGTATTCTGGCTCATCTTCTCTTCTTATCCTTTTCATATCACAAGTGGCAAGACATTTGTAAAGAATATGGTCCTGCATTTACTGGGGTCGAGTAAGGGATGGTGTTTAAGCTCTTTCCTCTGATGCTTTGCCCTCTTTTAAGAGAAAAAGTAATGTGTGACTCTTTGTTTGTAATCCTGGTGACACTTTATTCTGCCACCAACAGGGAAAGGAATTTCCCAAAAGTACGTATTTTTTGAGGTAGTTTTCTGGGGTATTTTAAATCATTTGCAGTCTTAATTGCTTCATTTAAACTCTTGAAAATAATGCTTTAATTCCTGAAAATAGATTGTTTTCCGCAGATTGGGTAATGAAATTAGCTTTACAAACTTGTGCTTGCTAAGCATTTTATATGTAAGAATTTGAAATTAAGCAGAAGGAATTATTTTTTAGGAAGTGACTCATTTGCTTTTAAAATTCTCTTAGACTTTATGATAAAATTTCTAAATGAGAGAAGAAGATAAGAATTTTGATGATAAAGTCAGAAACCGGGGGCCCTATATACAGACTGCTGGGAGCAAAACTGCTGCTGAGGGTGCAGAGGAGGGAGAGCGCTCACATTAGTTTGAAAGAGGGAGTGTTTGCTCCAGTTAGTATTTGATACCAGGGGGTGAGGGATTGTCAGACATAATGGATAATATTATGTAGGCCAATAAAAAAGATCTTTTCCCCTAACTACTACTACAACTAACTTTTAAATCCCATTTTCTTTCTATTCTAGTCTTGCCTTCCTGTCTTTTTTTCCTAGTCAAACAAACAAACAAACAAAAAATGCCTCATTAATCACAAAATAACCCAACTTGTTAAATGACATTTAATACCTAATGTGGTTTCATAAACTTGTGATTACTATTCTTTGCATTTCTTGATTTGTTTGTTGAAACTATCAAATTCTGAGCATCTCACTTGAGTGTTCAAACGACTTTTTGTAATAGAGATGTGAGGAACATTATATCCGGTTTAATTTATATCATCTTTGACATTAGAGGAAAGCATTGCATGTGGATGCCACCTTTCCATCACACCTTTTAAATTCTCATGGAGGAATTCTAATAGCTATCATTAACAACAATAACTTTAGAAAAAAAGATTTTTTTTTTAACAGTTCTTTGTAAGGGACATAAGATTTCTCATAAATGAAAATTATAAGCCACTTAAGATTGTGGCTCTTTATCCCTGAAATCCCTTATTTGACTAGTTCAGAGATAACCCTCTCCTTTTGGTCACTAATTAGCACATATTTTCTTTTCATCATATCAGTACTCCTTGCTCTTTCTGTAATCTCCCACATGAAGTCATCTCTTATCTTGCTGCTTTAGAGTGGCATAAATATATGCTACTACAGATTAATCTTTATTAGACCCATTCCAATGCCAGGCAAACTTTCCTGTTGGTGATCACGAGAAGGAAGAGGGATCACACTCCCTGCATATAAATCTTACCGTGTACAAGTTGCACTTATGGTAATTTCACCTCCCCATGTGTGTAGTTACAAGTTTCAGGAAGTGGCCCTATTGAGAGAGAAATATCTAGTATATATGGTTAGAAATGTGAACACCTTTTCCTATACAATTATTGTATTTAGGGATTATTTTAGTGCTGTTCTTCAGATACATCCCTTACTATTTTTGTGACCTGGTTTAGGAATGTATTTTCCACTAATAACATTGTTTCTCTGTACCACAGAAGTGATTTAGCAGCCCATTTAAATTGGGTAGTGCTTCTACTTCTATTTTCTCAACATTTTTATTCTTTCTCCCCCCAGAATGTTTTCATCTTTTGCCCATTTGGTTTGAAATTTGTTTTCCTGGATGCATAATTAACAGCTTTTTAATATTGTTTATTATATAATACTCTACATTTCTTATAGTCTATAGATGACCTAAATTTAAATTTGCCTCGGACTATTATGTGATACTTATATCATTATGTTTCGTATTTTAAACTTGACGAGGAATTATCATTATTAAACAAATGAAAACCTATTGACCTATTGATGCCTTAGAACTCCTAGTATAAAAGTGACCAAGAGACTCTGAGAATTGTTCTTTTCAGATTTCTAAGGAAGTAGAGAATTTGATGGATGTTCTCTTGACTGGATATAGGTAGGAATAAGGGCTAAGTGGCTTTTCATTTGCTCTTAATAAAACCAGTGCTGAAAAAAATTTTTTTTTTACATTTATTTAATTTTGAGAGACAGAGTGAGACAGTGGGTGAGTAGGAGAAGGGGCAGAGAGAGAGGGAGACACAGAATCTGAAGCAGACTCCAGGCTCTGAGCAAGCTGTCAGCATAGAGCCCTACGTGGGCCTTGAACTCATGAACTGTGAGATCATGAGCTGAAGTCAGATGCTCAACTGACTGAGCCACATAGGCACCCGTCCCCTCCCCGTGCTGAAAATTTTAAGCAGGAAAACAATTCATTAAAAGGATATTGGGGGAAAAAGTGTCTATATAACTAATAGACATGTTTGCTAATTATATAAAAGAAGAACTTGCTTTTGTTTTTAACATTGTCTTAAATAAATAACCATGAAAGAGAATCTGATAGAGAACATAGATGAGTGGGAACGAACACATCACAGTGACTGGGGGATGGGAACTTGTCATGGTCTCATTTAGTGAACCTTCAAGTAAAGAACATATTCAAGTAAAAAAAGGATACTTGATAGCTCAGAGACTTCAAAAAAATCCAGTGACCCAGGCTTGGGAGACAGGAATAAGGTAAAAAACCCTGTTGCAGACCTGTTCTATGAAGATAACAGTGGGCAAAGAAACTGAAGGCTTGCACCTTGAGCATCACCAGTGTTAGATACTGTGTGTTTCCACCTGATCTGCTGTGGAGATGTAGGGTAAGTCAGAGTTAGCAAGGGAAAGGGGTTAGATAAAGCACATGCACCCCATAGTACTTTTGAGAAACTGAACAAACTTTGTGACTGGAACAGAGAGAGTAAGATATGTGGAAGGAGATAAGAGGCTGGTTAAAAGCATTTGAAGAATTTAGAAAAAGAGATATATATGTATAGTATATATATATGTATGTATGTGTGTGTGTGTGTGTATATATATATATATATGTATATATAGTAGCTGAGGTAGGCCACTGAGAGGGAAATGAAAGATTTAAACCAGTGACAAGAATTGACAACACTTAAAGTTATTGGACTGTGGTACTTAGAGTGGGGGAAATTGAGGGCATGAAATTAAAGACACCAGGTTTCTGCTTTGGATAACTGGGCAGCTTATAATATTTATTGAGAGGAAGAACAGATTTTGTAGGAAAATAAATTTAGTTTTGGAAATACTTAATTTGTGTTACTGGGGCACGTGAAGAGAAATGTCCAGTTGGAGATAGGATCTGGAAGTCTGAGATCTGTAAGAGACAGATGGCATAGAAAATAAAGATTTTTGATTTATGAGCATATGGTTCTTAATCTTTTCTTCTGTGCCGTTAGTACTTGCGAGAGGTAAAGGTATATGGAAATAAGCGTACCCAGATCTGCAAGCCTTGACTGATGTAGGTTCTGAAAACCCTTCTTATGTATTTCTGATATCACTAAAAATGATGAATGAAGCCATGGCAATGGATAGATAAGATGTCTTAGGGAGATTATGTAGAGTGAGATTGGAAACTCCAAATAAATAACCTGAAGAATGTTGGTATTTGAAGCAGTGGGCAGAGACAGGGGAGCTTTCTCTGGGGAGAGAAAATAGAGCCAGAAAGGCACAGACAAAAGTGAGGAGTGGGGAGTCCTGCATATCAAGAGAAGATGGGAGAAAAAGGTGATGGACAGCATTTAATGTTCTTGAGAGGTCAAGTAAGAGAAGGACTGGGATGTATCTATAAGCTTGAGCAACAAGTTAGGACATCAGGGAATTTAGGATGAGCATGTTAAGTGCTTTAATGAAAGCAGCAGCCAATTTCCAGAGGAAATTGGTGGTAGGGAAGCAAGTTAGCAAATGTAGACATCTCTTAGGAAATAGCTGTGAGTGTGGGGGGAAAGGGAGAGGGTTGTATCTGGAGGGGAAGTAGTTTTATGAGGTTTCTTTTAAAAATGGAATAATTTGAGCTTGCTTCAATGTTGATGAAAGTGCCAGCGTAGAAGAAGAGGCTGAAGATGGAGGAAAGCAGCAAAGCTGTGAGGCACTGATTTTGCCGGTTCTTTATATGGGATAAATTGCTGGAAGGAGAATCCAGAAGCCAAAATCCAGTTAGTACAGTAGACTAGGTGAAAAGTAATGCAGCTTTGTACCAAGATTGTCTCAGTGAGAAATGAGAGGAAATTATATGCAAGATGAAATTGAAGGGATATGGGCAGTTTCAGAAATCAGTATGACTGGGAGAATGGTAGTTTCATTGATAGAAATGTTTAAGAAAGATTTTTAAAAGTACATTTGATGTGAAGATAATTTGTATGTTGTATGTACTGTAGTGAGTTTTGAGAAACCTATAGATTTCCAGAAGAAGATGGCCAGAGAAAAGCAACAAATTAAAAATTTAGGACTTATTCTTAGAGCAGAGCTCACATGTGGTAGAAAGATTGCTGTGATCTCCTACGTGGAGATGATAGTTGTGGTCGTCCGTGAGAGCCGTTGTGCTGGGACTGTGTGTTCAGAAACACTAATAGGATAGATGCAGTCTGTGTATCCGTTGTGTTTTTCTGTGTGGATTAAGGTTTGCATGTTTTAAGCTGTAGAGTCATTTGCCAATAATAGGCAAAAGGTACTGTGTTTGTCAGATTCCAACAAACTGAATGTAAAGTGTTGAATATATGCTGTGTGTGTGTGTGTGTGTGTGTGTATCTTTTCCACTGCATTTCAATGTTAATGTTTACTTTTTAAAATCAAGTATACTTTAATTATGGTACTATGTTGATATTTAAATAGGCAACTTAGTTCAGTCACAACTTTGAGTTATCAGTTCTTAAAAAACAAGTTATTGGATTAATGTTAAATTTGGAATCTTTTAGGTTGTGTATTTGATTTCAAAACTATGGGCTCAAAGCCTCAAGATGATTTATTTGTTATTTATTTGTAAATTTATTTATTTATGGTGATGTTGGCAAATGGAAGTAGTGACAGATTTTACCTCCCACCCCCCAAAAAAGGGGCTTACAAAGTCATATTTTAATTTGATATGTAAGAATTACTGAGTCGTCTTTAGTTATGTATGAAATGAATTCAGAACAAGTTAAAATCTCTTTAATTACTATATGTGAATGTACATGTACTTCTATTTCTTCTTCTAAGAATGTATGTTTGGACAAAAGCCAGAACTTTGTTTTTACTGTGTATTTAAGGAAATAGCTATGATAAACCAAATACTAATCTGTACTCTCTTTCTTTTCTAATAGAAAAGCCTCCTAATAAAAGCAGCATGAGGATAGTAGTGGATTCAGAATCAAGGAAGAGAACCATTGGTTCCGGGGAGCCTGGAGCTCCTACAAAGAAGACCTGGTTTGATAAGTAAGCTGGCAGGGAACATTGAGAAATTTTACTGTGCAGTGATTTTTAGAATACTGGAGTATTATTATGACAGTATAGTATTCTATATAAAATGAACTCTATATAACTCGTCTGTAGGCACTCCCACACTAGAGTGTCATTGATTTCTAAAAATTTTTAAGTTATTTGACACTTGGGAAGCATTTTCATATAGAATTAATGTGGTAGTTGAGGACACAGTTTTTCCTCTGTCATCCCCCTCTCCCCAAAAAATACCCCTTAACTTAGAGATGCCACTGAAAACTACCTATATAAAGGATAGTCATGAGCCCATTATGTAGGGAAGAAGGTTAGGTCAGGTTTGGGAGGAGGCTTTAACATGTAGGCAGGTCCTGTTAAGAGCTAAAAAGTGATCTTTTGAGGAGCGGGGGAGGCTGGATAGACACAAATTGTCAGGGAAGAGCCTCAGAGAAAGATAAGGAATCTGAATTTTGGGGTGCATGTGATGATTCTCTTATAAATGTGCAAGTTACGAGAGAGGATCCCACTTTCAGAGTTCAACATCATTTAATAATCACTAATACCTAGTTCTGACTCTGCCCGTAATTCTGTGATTTAAGGCAAGCAGTTTAACTTGTCGAGGCCACAGTTTTGTCTTTTATTCAAGAGTCAAATGTATGGTTAATAGTTTTGACATTTTTTTCTGAGCTGGAAAGTGGTTGAGACAGTCATTCCTTGTTTTTAGTCAGTGTTTTAGGATAGAATACATTTCAGTAAGCTAACTTTGACAGAAGTGCAACAAAAATATATGCAAATTTACTGAAAGAGGGTGCTGGACCTTTCCTGCTAAGAATTTTAAGTAGGAGTGGATTTAAAGTCGAATGTAATAAATAAATGACAAGAACCCATCACATTTGGCTTCTATGAAAGATATGTACACTACTGATTTGGAAATTTAAGTTTTTGGAAGAAAATTTAAATTTTCTTTATCATCCAATAATTTCAATTTTGAAAGAAAAATTTAGCTTAAGTTGTAAAACTTCGTTAATTTGAACTTGATAGGGGTCAGGATTTACAAATGAATGTATTAATCAGCTTAATTTTTGTTACAGGCCAAATTTTAATAGAACAAACAGCCCAGGCTTCCAGAAAAAGGTTCAGTTTGGAAATGAAAATACCAAACTTGAACTTAGAAAAGTTCCTCCCGAATTAAATAATATCAGCAAACTTAATGAACATTTTAGTCGATTTGGAACCTTGGTTAACTTACAGGTAAGAGCTATGAAGTAATTTTGTTGTCTTTATTATTTTAGGAGGGAACTTAATGCAGTAGAAGAGTACTTTTATAAAGGAATATGAAAAATTTGGTTATATTCTAAATTTAGAAAATGGGAAATGGAATGAAACTATATTTTTGAAACAATTGTGATTTTGAGTAAGTGTTTTACTTTCAAAAAAGCAGGAGTTTGATCATATTTTATATACTGTTTACCTAATAGAAGTTATCATAGAATTATAACAAACTTTAAATCATCACAGTAGGAAAATCTAATCTTTTTAGTAGTGTTCATTTCCTCAGTTTCTCCAAATTATTACTGCAGAATGCTTCAGTCCAATTATTTTTTGCTCTCTGTATGTGTTGGGAAACACCTAACAGTGCTTTGGGGCCCAAATATTGTGTACTTCATAATTAGTTTACACATTTACTTTTTCCCCAGTCACTTTTGAACGTCCTTCAAGATTAAACATCAATGTAATTTGTATTTGACTTCATCCAAAATCAGACCTTGGCTGGAGTGTATATAACTTGTGAGGTTATTTAGATTTGAGTTTACATTATTGGGTATAAAGAATGTATTAAATAATGTAGGACCTTTTTTCCAGGATTTTCAGCTAAAATAATTCTTTCCATTAACCTGATAAAAATAAGAATACATTTTAGAGAGTACAGCTGAAGTTATTTGGAAAGTTTTGCTTTCATAACATTTACATTTTTCTTAATGTATATGCATTTTTGAGAGAGAGACCGAACATGAGTGGGGGAGGAGCAGAGAGAGGGAGACACAGAATCCGAAGCAGGCTCCAGGCTCTGAGTAGTCAGCACAAAGTCTGATGTGGGGCCTGAACCCACGAACCTTGAGATCATGACTTGAGTTGAAGTTGGACGCTTAACTAACTGAGCCACCTAGGCATGCCTCTTGACATTTAATAAATAATACAAAAGTAACATAAAAAAAATGCTTGCTTTCTTAGTATGAGGCAATAGAGATTTATATAGAATTTAAAGGAAGTGCTTCCCCTTCAATTCTATGTCCTTCTCAATTCCTCTCCCTATAGATCCTCATAATTACATTATTAACAATTTGTCATGTATTATTTTAGATTTTTTATATTTCTGTGTCTGTCTACTTTCAGTCAGTACACCAAAAACATATATATAGTAAAAAATACATGATCTCAGCTGGTGAGTTCAAGTCCCTTGTCAGTGCTCACAGCTCAGAGGAGCCTGCTTCGGATTCTGTGTCTCCCTTTCTCTGTGCCCTGCTCTCTCTGTGCTGTACTTTGTCTCTCCAATATAAATAAATGTTAAAAAAAAGTTTCTTTAATAAAAAAATACATGGGCCCATGGCATACATATTACCTTGTGATTACCTAATCTTGAATATCTCTGAATATCTTTTTAGAAGAATACAATTTTATCTCCCAGGTTTAGATCTAGATACAAAAAGTTTTCACGGTATTTTTTTTCTTGTGCAATTTAACTGTCCTGGTAAAATTAAATTTAAGAAATTTTTCAAACCCGAGGAACAAAACGTGGTAACTCATTGTTGTTTCAATTTGCATTTCCTCAAGTACTAGTGAGGTTAATATCTCATCTCTTTACTAGGCCTCTTGCTGTATCTGCATACAACCTATATTATTATTTATAAAACATATGTTTTTAGTAATCAGTTAAAAATTAACTTTATCCTGATTAAACCTATGGGTAAAATTGATGCTTTAAATTCCGGTAAATGTATGATTATTAACGTGCTACCTAAAATCACTCTTATAAGTATTTATTGAATATTTACTATATATTCTATGTTCTATACGAATTATTATTTAATTCTTAATACTACAGAGTGGGTATTGTTATCCCATTTTTGAAGATGAAAACAGAGTCACAGGTTAAATAACTTGTTCGTGGTCTCCCATGAACATAGCAGTCAAGGTTTGAGTCATGCCTTTTGACTCACAGTCTGTGCTTTTAGTCCCTATTTTGTATTAACTTCCCACCAATGACTTATATACCACACTTTAGAAAACATTGCTATTGAGCGAACAAGAAATTTGAAGTGAAAAGCCTTGGATCTGCTATCTATTATTGGTGTGGATGTGCAGACTCACATACCCTGAATCTCATTTTCTTTATGTGTAAAGTGTAATTGCTATTGTTATGTAAATCCTTTTTATCCTCCCCTTAAATTTTCTCACACTCTTGGAAATATTTCTTGACAACTATAAATTTGGAAAGTTTTACAAATGGATTTTTCTGTAGTTTTTAGAGGTCACCTCTTTCAAAGTAGTTTACTGGCTTTTCCTGACTCTGGGTCTTGACATTATCACTCATTGGTACAGGGATTATTTCTCAGTATTAATATTGGGGTAAAAAAGGAAATGTTTTGGATGCTTGTATATAACATTGTGCAATGAGCATTCTTTACACAGTGTTATATAGAGGAGGCTCTGGTTCTGGAGAGTACCCAGTGTACATTTCTTCTGGAGTGAAGTAAACCATGGTGAATAATCTTGATATAAGAAAGGGTAAACATAGAATATTACCTGGAAGGACCAGATTCTCCTCTCTTGAGGAATTTTATTGGATGAAGCAATGGATTCATTTTGAATTCACTGTACTTAATATTTTAAACCTTAGGTTGCTTATAATGGTGATCCTGAAGGTGCCCTTATCCAATTTGCAACATACGAAGAAGCAAAGAAAGCAATATCAAGTACTGAAGCAGTACTAAACAATCGCTTTATTAAGGTTTATTGGCACAGAGAAGGAAGTACCCAGCAGTTACAAACTGCTTCTCCAAAGGTAAGAGAGAGATTTGTGTGAAATTCAGTCCTTTCTTGGCTCTTAGCATAGTGTTTAAGAGCAGAGGTACTGCATTCAGGTAGACTTGAGTTCAGATTCTGGCTCTCCCACTGCTGGCTGTACACACTGAAAGAAGTTACACTTAATGCCTCCAACCTGTTCTCTTATTTTATTATGAAGTTAACTCCTAGTTTAGACAATTCTAGGATGCTAAGGTCTAGGAAGGCCCCTGTTAGGTAGACGACACTCAGTATACGGCCCCTATACATATTCCAGAAACTCAAACTGTGTGTTCATCTTGGAGATCCTTTCCTTCCTCTCTCCCTCCCTTCTTCCCCTTTCGGTTTTTCAGTCATTGAGCCAGTCAGTCCGTAACGTTAGATAAGTTGCTTATAGGAAGGTTTTATAGTGATTTGTTTCTCAATTTAACTTTCTCCTTTTCATTTAAAAGAGACAAAAGATATAGTGAAGTGTAGATTTTTAATTTTTTTCCTCTTCTTTATAAATAATTTATGCAAAGAAAAACATCTATAGGTATGTGTGAAGGAATTTGGGACAGGTTTTGATTATAAACTGTGCTTTTAAAACTGTATCCGCATGGGCAGTTTAATAACAAAATACCAAAGGTTACTTTCCAAGTTCATGAACTAATCCTCTTGTTTAACATTTTTTTCGTGTTCTGAGGTAATGCAGCCCTTAGTCCAGCAGCCCATTTTGCCTGTTGTGAAGCAGTCAGTCAAAGAGCGGTTGGGTCCAGTACCTTCAAATACTATTGAACCGGCAGAAGCCCAAAGTGCCAGTTCAGACCTTCCTCAGGTAAATGAAAAGTCTTAACATTGTGTCAGTCACATAACAGGTTCTCAGTAAATTAGTTACCCTTGTGATTTGAATTATAGTTAATTGTATATATTTCATACAGAAATATCATAGTCTATACATATTCGAACTCCACCTGTAAATTTTCTTTTTATCATTACCATAACATTTCATATTCTACTTTCTACTCTAGTATTTGAATTTTAAATTCTCTCTAGTTTGTGCTTCTTTTTCTTTCACTTTGTGGGGGAGGTATTTTTCAAGCAAAACTGGCTGAAAAATGAAGTTGAGTACACTAAATCTTATTTTTCCTGTCATCTTTTACTTAACTAGAATTTTATTCCAGAGAAAATTATATAGCAAACTGAACCGAAAGCTTCTGGGAAGGGAAAGAATAAACCCATCAAGGTTTAGCATGCTTGATACTATCCTGTTTCCGGTTACATATGCAGCAATCTCTGAACTTTGCATCACGTATTCCTGACTTTCAGATTCTCTTCCCCACATGTCATTTCCTTTCCCTCCCTTCCACACTTGAGTGGCAGTGTCTTGTTTCTATACCCTTAACCTCTGAAACTCAGCTTTCTTTTGTCTCTAGATGTTTTAAGCATTTGCTGTTTTAGAGTTAGGATGTTGTTAGGGTGCTACTTCATTAAAATAGTGTTCCTAGATAACTCCTGAAGAGTAAGATATTGAGATTCTATGAAAACATGCAGAATGGAAATTGATAAATTCTTAGTTACTAAAAAAAAAAAGCCCGGTTCTGTTATCTCTAATCATCACCAGATCCAGTTTATTTGTCTACAAAACAAGCATACTTTAGGAAAGAATGGCTTTAATTTTTAAGTTTGAGAAGTCATAGATTTCAATTATTGGCATCTAATTTTTACAGCGTTCAAACTTTCTACTTGTCAACATAGGATTCTAAGAATTTATGATTCTGTATCGATGGAGGGGACTTTTAGTAAATCCTGGTCCAGACCTTACTGCGTCGTTTTTTATGATTGAGTAAAACTGCATACTGTTTTTCCATACACATTTTCTGTCACTTTGAAAAAGGCCCAAGTTTTTGTCATTAACATCAAAATACTTAAAGAGTCAGTGTGTATTAGTAGAATCAGAATGTTCAAAATCCCAACAGACCTGTATGTTTGGGGAAACACTGAATATGTCCATTTTAATTTTTTTAGAATGTAACTAAATTATCTGTGAAGGACAGGTTGGGTTTTGTATCAAAGCCATCTGTTTCAGCAACTGAAAAGGTAAGAAGAATAGCATGATGTGTTTGTCTTGGCTTCATAAATGTTTTCAGGTGGCATCTTAATTTTTTAATTTTTTTCATAGTTCCAAACTCTTGCTTCTTAATAGTATCTGTACCTCTTACTCCTACCCTTTTGCTTTCCATTTGCTGAAAAAGAAAACTGTTTGCCCACCTTTGTTTACTTTTTGCGTCAGCATTTTAATACCTGCCTTTCACTATGTGTCCATGTGCTTCTTTCTTTTTGTTTTGTCTTTTTATTTACTATCTATTCTTTAGAGATAATTGTGCATTTTGATTTGAAAACTCTGGCAGCTTAATAGAAAAGGCCACAAAGTAGGAATTTTATCTGAGGTTGAGTTTCTGGCTCTTCACATACTAACAGCATGAGATTGGGCAGTGCTCCTAACCTTTCTGATTCTTTTTCCTCATTGGTAAAATGATTGTATTATTTGTCTTGCTAACAGGGTTTCATGAGGAGTAAATAAAAAGATTTATTTGAAAGTATTTTTTAACTGGAAAGGATGATGTAAATGCAAATTTTTTATTTGTTAACATATTATGCATAGCCTGACAATTTGTCATTTCTTTTTTTTCAATGAGGGTGTAAACACTGATTAAATTAAGACTATTTATGTACCTGTCTTATAGTTCTGTGTAGATGTGTTATTTTTTTTTTCTGTTTAGGTGTGAGTAAATGCTTTGTTCTTTAGCCTTACTTGAGGTATGTGGAATACAGAATAGAATTAGATAGTCTCTCTCATTTCTATGTCCTCACCTTAAAAGGAAGGTAAGACTCAAATAGATAACATTGGAATTTTGAGGCAGGACTGGAATGTGGGTCTCCTGTTTCACATCCATGGCTCTTTCCATTCGTAAGATTATGTAGGAAGTTGACTTCATGTGTACATAGACCAGCATCCCATGAGATGGCTGACTTTCTTCACTGGCTCCTGAGTATATTCTTTTCCTTATTTATCATGTTGAACTAAGGCAGTTGTAGAAATTTGAATCTGAATCTAATTCTATATATCTGATTTTCATCTTGGACACCTCAGCAATACTTCAGGCATGATGTACTTAAAATGACTGTTTCCCAAATGAATGAACTTCTACTACCCCAGTCTGTGGAAGTTACACCAGCATTGTCCAAGTTGTACAGTCTAAGAAGCTGTAGAGTCATTCCCTTATGTCTGTTACCACTTCTCTTTTTCTGCCACCTTCAGTTTCCAGCCTCTGGCTGTGATGTCCTAGCTGCATGTTTCTCCTGTAGTTTTACTACCACCATCCTGCTTTCAGACTCACTGCAGTGTTAACTCTTACAGAAACTTTCATTTCCTCAACTAAATACCTGCTCGATTCCTAGGTCATCATACCTCAGTTATTCTGGCGCATTTACCTCTGCTTTAGTCTTTCCTTTCTACCTTAATGCTCCCTTTTCCGCTCATTGTTCCTTAGTCTTGCCTGCCTTTTTTTTTCTTTTTTGGTGGTGATTTTCCTGGATTGCATTTTCCTTTTATGTGAATTTGAGTCATTCTTTTAAAGATTGAAAATCTCTTTACTGTATTCTATGAAATCTTCAATTTTTTTCCATATCATGCCTCCTTTTTTCTCTGAATTTGTTCATGTATTTATTGTACTGAATTTAGCTGTATCTAATTATTTCCTTTGATTAGGTTTATTTTCCCTGATAATAAGTAACTAAAGAATAAAGAAAATAAAGTCTGTTATACTTTGTGGAGTACTGAGCAGTTCTGGAGAGGTCTAAAAACCTTATGCTTAACATCTGTTTATGCTAAGATTTCAACTTTGAAATTGATATGTACTTATTATAGCTTTTACAGAATCTTTCTGCTATGTTTGCTTCTGTTTTTATTAAGGTTTTTAAATGTGTTTTGTATAGCTTTAGGATAAAAGGGATATAAACTTGGAGTCAGTAGTATGCACTTACTACTTTAGTTACCAATAACCAAATTTGTGAAAAATTACTAATGGGCTGTTTGTGAAAAAAATTACTTAGTAAATACTGTAAAGACTCTCTTAAGGAAAGATGTCACGTACAAATGTCTAACTTTTAGTCATCTTCAGTGGACCTGTTTACAGAATAGCATTTTGTTTTTGCTTATTCTTGGTTGTTCCTGTTCCCCAAGTCTGTAGGGGTTTTCGCTGAAGAATCCTGAGAGGTTAGTGATTCAGAGAAGTTTTAGGAAATTTAGAAGAATGTTTCCCATTATCAAATATTGTTTAAATTTTTTTTTTGTTCTTCTTAATTGAAGGCTGGGAAATATTCAGAGCTAATGTCTATACAGTATTTCTGTCGTTATTAAAGCAAAGAAGTACACAAATACACAGATTTCCCCCTTTCTGTGAACAACACTGAGTGAACTCCTGAGTGATTCTTTATTCTAAAATTCCATTTTTGTGAGATGTTGAAAGAGGAAACTTAAAACCTAATTGAAGACTGCTAAATCTTAAGATATTGTAGTAGCTACTAAATAGGTATTAGTTGGAAATAGTGATCAGTGAAATGATGTTTGAGTATTTCTCAAGAGATAGAGCAATTTATGAAGAGTAAGGTGGCATCTGTGTATATACCATCCTGCTTAGGCTAGAAAAAGACTTAGACTAACCGCATTATCTCCCAAAGCTCTTCTAAAGACTAAGAAGGTAAACTGATTAATCACTTGAATAATTAATGTATGTATGTCATATCAGTTGTAGGTGTATCAGACTTTTGTGATACAGGATGTTGTTCCCTAGCAATACATACATACATACATACATATATAGTGTGGCATATATGTATATACATATATATGTACAACATATATATACATGTATATATGTACTATATATATACACATACGTGTGTGTGTATATATATATATACTATATATATATAGTGTGGCATACTGAAGGAACATTGCCTGTCTTTTGGAGACTTAAGCTGTTTATTTAGCAGCTGATATTCAATATAATCCTGGATGAATCTTACTCTCTCAGTTTCCTTAACTATAAAATGCAATCATCTAAGGGATCCTTTGATTTTTTAATTTGTATTTGTTGTGTAATTTTGCTACTTTAAATATAAATGTTAAGGAAATGTATGATAGTTTCCTACTTTTGATTTTTTTTAATGCATTGACTGCTTTCAGGATTATTACCTAGATTATTTAGTTAGATTATTATGAGGATTATTTTTCTCATAGAAAAATAATGATTTCTATAAAATGCTAAGCTGGGTTTTTTGGGAATCAAGCTATTGTAGCAAAAATTGATTACTGAGTACACATATTTTCTTTGACATTAAAATATTATTTGTAAGACCTCTAATCCCTTTGTCTCTTAACCTACTTACTATTCTTGGAAAGAAAAACCTGTTAATCCCTGAAAATATTTTATAAGTGTAACTTTATTTTTTTAGTGTTTGTTTATTTTTGAGAGAGAGAGGCACAGAGTGTGAGTGGGGAAGGAGCAAGGAGAGAGGGAGACACAGAATCTGAACCAGGCTCCAGGCTCTGAGCTGTCAGTACAGACCTGATGCAGGGCTCGAATCCATGAACCATGAGATTGTGACCTCAGCTGAAGTCAGACGCTCAACAAACTGAGCCACCCAGGCGCCCCTTATAATGGAACTTTAAAGTAAAATCCTATTCTCATTAGAATTCCCAGTTAGGGTTGGTTTTTGCTATAGAAAAAAACATCTGTTTGCTGCTTTATGAGAATATCATATATTAATATTTAGATTTATTAAAAAAGATAATTTACTTAAATAAAAGTTAACTATATAATAATTGTATTAATAAGTTTCCTATGCATAACTTCTGCTATAAAAACCTGTTAGAGCTCTAGCATATTTTGAGTGTGACAGTGAAGCATAGTAAATGTTTCTTTTATATTTGATTCCAGCATGGGGATTGGTTATTAAAAAAATAATACTCTGATGACTTAATTTATAACACTCTTCTCTTTTAGTAATTTTTACAAAATACTTTTTTTCCGTTTCACCCTTATCCATGAGAAAAATCAGTTTTTCTTTACAAGTACTAATGATAGTTATGACTGGTAGTATTTCACATTAGAAATAAGATAAACAGGTATTAATGGATTTTAACTTCTTTCTTATTAGGGAATTGGTTTTTGTCTTGAAAAGTAAGAGATATGAGCGATGTACATTTTAATAATGAAGCATATGATACTTTTCAGCTCGCCTTTTGAATTCAACAAACCTTTGACACCAAATCTGACCAGCATATTACATGAAAGGAAAATTAACAAGCCAATAATAGCTCATGAATATAGACATAAAAATCCTAAGCTAAATATTAGTAAATGCTTAGTGATATGAAAAAAGATAATATATCCTGGCCAGGTAGGATTTATTCCAGAAATGCAAGTTTGAATTAACATTTGAAAATAGGTTTAATTCACCTAAGGGGGAGAAGGGTGGGAAGAACCTCTTCTGATTATTTCAGGAGAAAAAGCATATGATAAAATTTATTAGTCACAATAAACAATGTGCAAAGTAGAAATAGAAGGAAACTCCCTTAATTTTATCTTCTAATGTACTGAATGGTGAAATATTGGATATTTTTCCTCTTTGAGATCAGGAACAAGAAAGGATATCTATTCTCCACTTTATTCAGTAGTGTAGGGCCTAACCAGTTCAGTAAGGCAAGAAAATGAAATAAATGGTATAAAGATGGCAAAAGAAGAAACAAGATTATTTACTCACATATGACATAGTATATATGAAAAATCCAAAAAAATTCACAAATCTTTGGAATCAATAGGTGAACACAGTAAGTTCAGTATATAAAAATATAGCACATGCAGAAACCCATTTGGAAAATAGAGACAGTGTGGTTGTTTGAAAGGCCACTGCCTGTGCTTTGACTTCGTTCTTAGGAATTGCAGAATCTTCTTTTCTGTTGGATTTGTCATTTCATTCCACTGGTTTCATTTTTAACAGATTTTCTTCTCTTTTTATCACAACTCTTTTATGAAAATACACATGTTCCTTGCTATTATTCATTAGATTCGAACAGTGAGCTGTATTTTGATTCGTATAGTTCATTCTTTCTAAGACATTTTGTTTTCACCTTTCAACACCTGAAATTAGGCTATCATACAGTATTGGTGCTATGGTTATAAGTGGCACCCTTTTTGTCTTTCATAGGGGTTTATTATGATATCGTGTTCATAGTGATCTCTTGAGTTCAGTAAAGTATGTCAGCTGATATTCTGTTTGAACAGAAGGAAGTTCCTAGATAAAATAAGGAAGTGGGATGTTTTTAAAGGAGTATTGTCATACACTTTTATTCACTCTCAGTCACTGCTTCTTACTTAGCCTGATATCAGATGTTAATAAATATCCTTTGAAAAAGGAGTACACTGAAATTAAGGAATGCCAAGTTAAACAGATTACATTACATGGGTTTCTTTACTTCAGGCTTTCTCACAGCTTTTATGGTAATAGATATTTTGAAACTAGAAACTAGGGTTATGATATTTATCATTTCCAACTTACTGAGTATAGAAATCTTTTTGGTCACAACTTTTCAACTTGTCTTGGAACCCTCATGAAGAAAACAGTTTATGAGACACTCAAATTCTGTTTTTAGCATTTTATGTTGTATTTCTCTCTCTATAAAGCTACTGTCTCTTTCTTGTACAATCCTGCAGTTTAACATTGTTTGGTATGGTAAGGTAGCATGGAAGAAATTTGCTTCTAGTATTACAGAGAATGATGACTAAAGTTAGACTTCAGGTAACTAGATTTACTCTAATATTTTATAATTTATAATTGAATGCAACAATTTTGTTATTTGTTAGTGATGTTGGAATGTTACTTTTCATTATGTAAGAAAATTATCAGATTTGATATACATCAAGTATTATAAAGAATCTTTATTTCTAAACATCAGTTGCATTGCATACAATCAATATAATTAACAGTATTCTAGGCTTTTTTAAAAATAAAGTTTATTTTGAGGGAGGGAGAGAGAGAGAAAACAAGGTTGGAGGAGGGTAGAGAGACAGAAGGACAGAGAGTCCCAAGCAGACTCTGCACTGCCAGCAAGAGCCTGATGCAGCAAGATCTCACAAACCATGAGATCATGACCTGAGGCAAAATCAGGAGTTGGTTACTTAACCAACTGAGCCACGTAGGCACCCAACAGTATTCTAGATGTTTATTTCACTTGGAGGCTAAAACATTCTTGAACACTTAGAACAGTGATGAGTTGCCTATTCTTTGTGCTGTTCCCTAATCTAACTTTATGATAGATGATTAGAAAATGGTATCTGCTTGTTACTTCTCTGATAGACCCTGATGTTTACATTTTACTAGCTAAAAAGGTGGGCTTTTTTTCATTGATAATCTTCTGTTTGTGTAGTTCTTTTAACCTCTTTTTGGTCATGAACTCCCTTAACTCTTTGGAAACTTTTCCTCTGGAAACACTGTTCACACATATGGTTCCACCTTTAGTTTTTGTAACATTCATAGATTTCCCTTAAGGGATCTCTAAACTTTCTAAGAACCAGTAACTAACCACTCCGTTGAACCTACAGCCTTTTGCTTTTGAAGGATAAAAAAGGTAGCCACTTTATTTTCTTGAATTGACCCTTGTGTGGAAAAGATTATCCACCTTGATCTTTCATCATTTCAGTTTAATTTGGTGCAAAAGTGTTCATTGAGTATTTACTATGTGCCCTGGCACTGTTCTTGGCACTGAAGATAGAGTGATGAACCAAGCCAAAAATCCCTGTTTTTATGGAATGGATTTTTGAATTTGTAAGGACTTTAAATGCCATCCACTTAAAACATTCTCATTTTAGAGAGCAAACTGACACCAAAAAAGTGCCTGAAGTTAACTAGGGTCTCATAATTAGTTGGTAACAAGGTTTAGGTACTAGAAGAAGCACAAAGAGGAGAAAACATGGTTTTGTTGATCTTACTGTGTAGATAGGGAGAGAGACACATGAATTAACATATCATCACATCATTTTTATTAAATATTTGAATAACTGTGGAAATAAAATTTCATGGAAGGATCTGGTTAGAGGAAATAAATGATTAGGGCTTTGTGACTGTCACGTCAGTGTTTTTTTCTTGATTTGAAGTTTTTTATGTTCTTTTTTTTCTGTAGGTATATGCTGTTAATTTTTTTATTTTATAGTTTAAGCCTCATTCATACCCTTCCTTTCAAACCACTAAATGTGATTTAGTTATTATATGTATATAATACATTTATTTCAGTGAACAATTGAATTTTGACAAAAGTGTTTTAAAATTGAGTTTTATAGAAAACAAGATAGGTAGTCATGAGTGCTTGGTACATTTTTTAAGAAATTGAATTTGTGTTGGTAGGTGTTGTCTACATCTACTGGCCTAACTAAAACAGTGTATAATCCAGCTGCTTTGAAGGCTGCACAGAAAACCTTACTTGTTTCCACCGCTGCAGTTGACAATAATGAAGCACAGAAAAAAAAACAGGTAAATACAGTTAGTTGGGCACAAAATTTGCATGTAGGAATGCTTTTTTCTGCATGTATGTGTTTTTTTAAAGGCTTATCACAGAACAGAGCTAAAAGAAAGGTGTGTGTTGATTGCCACTGAACTTTTAGTTTCATTGTGTAACAGTAAATATTAATTTGGGAGGGGGAATGAAAAGCTCTCCTGATTGATCTTAGAAACTTACATATTTAACTTTTACATACCAAAACTTTGCATTTAGTTGTTTTTGCCAAGCTTCTGCATCCACAACCGTTTCTCTCCTCGGGAATACCTATTTATCAGACTAATGAACAGTAAATATTCTACAGATGTTTTTGATATCTTTCTCTAGGAGGCATTGAAACTTCAGCAGGATGTAAGGAAAAGGAAACAAGAAATTTTAGAAAAGCACATTGAAACACAGAAGGTAAAATAAAGCTAGATTTGGCAAAATATATTTATAGATGTTATAATATTGAGTAAATTTTATCTCACCCTATATAGCTACTTCTAAGAAACTTTTAATAAAGGTAACACTGAAATGTTTATGAACGATAATGTATGTATCAGTTGATTAATGTGTATTGGGGATGAAGAGCATACATTAAATGGTGAACTGGGGATTATATTGGTTTAAAGGAACTGTGGTGGCCAGTGAAGCAGAAATAAGGAATATTGATCCATATATGTTACTGCACAGTAGTTTGTCAACAGATAGTGAATTGGAAACTTTTTCTCAACGTTGAGATATGTATCTTTTAAAAATTTTCGTGGGATTCTCTACTTTTGTGTTGTCAGTAGGGCAGCTAATAGCTACATGCAACTTTTGAGAACTTGAAATGTGCCAAGTTCAAAATGATATGTGCTGTGGGGCGCCTGGGCGGCTTAGTCGGTTAAGCATTTGACTTCCACTCAGGTCATGATCTCACAGTCTGTGAGTTTGAGCCCCTCATCAGGCTCTGTGCTGACAGCTCAAAGCCTGTTTCCTGCTTCGGATTCTGTGTCTTCCTCTTTCTCTGCCCCTCCCTGGCTCACACTCTCTGTGTCTCTCTCTCACAAAATTATATAAACATTAAAAAAAATTGATATGTGCTATAAGTATATAAAGTGCACATCAGATTTCAAACACAGAATATGAAGAAAAAAAGTAAAACATCCCAATAATTTTTGTTGAAGTTTATAACATTTTAGATAAACTGAGTTAAATACAATATTAATTTACTGGTTTGGATTTTTCTTTTTAATCTTTTTAATGTGGCTGCTAGAAAATGTAAAATTACTTACGTGGCTTACAGTATTTCTTTTGTACACTGTTGCTCTAGGTTATGACATTTAATTAGTGCCAGTTCCTGATTACGTCTTGTAATAAAGGTTATGGTATCTCAAAATATTAAAAATACAGAAACTTTTTACATTTTGGGTTAAAATTACATCTTTTCTAATTTAAATTTGGATATACAGCACGTGATAAAGAGAAATCACAGTACTTGACACCCAAATCTGAAACCACCTTGACTCAGAAAACTTACATAATATGTGGTTTTTTCCACCCCATATTACTTTATCTTTTGTTTCCTGTCCATGTTGGGGATACCGTTCTTTTTTTTTTTTTAATGTTTTATTTATTTCTAGGAGAGAGAGAGAGAGAGTGTGAGCAGGGGAGGGTCAGAGAGAGAGGGAGCCACAGACTGAAACAGGCTCCAGGCTTCTGAGCTGGCAGTCAGCACAGAGCCCCGCGCGGGCCTCGAACCCACGAACCGTGAGATCATGACCCAAGAGAAAGTTGGACGCTTAACCGACTAAGCCACCCAGGCGCCCCTGGGGATACCATTCTTAATGTTAGCCAGTTAATGTTCCCTGTGACAAAGAAAGTAATTAATTGTTTTAAGATCTCGTTATATGAAAGGAACCATAAAACTTCTCTGTGTCTTTCTGGGTTGTAGGCTACATTTGGAGTGGGACTACTTTAGAGATTGTAATATCCACAAATATATTAGAAAGTAAAAGTATTACTTTTGAAGTATTGCTTCAAATTGACAACTTTCAGTTGCATTTCTTAAAGTTGTGTTCTTTGAACTTACATCCCGAGAGACCAGTGGCAATGTAATTCTTCACAGAATGTGCCAAGATTGAGAGTTGAGTTGAGATAGCATCACCAACTCTGTTCTGCTGTCTTAGTGGTTGCAGCCCTTGCCATGAATATGTAAATTAAAACTAGTAGTTACTTATTTTTAGATTTACTTTGATGTGTTTGTTTTGTATATCTTAGTTTTTCTCTTTTTAAAAATTTGGCAGATGTTGATTTCAAAACTGGAGAAAAACAAAGCAATGAAGTCTGAAGATAAAGCGGAAATAATGAAAACTTTAGAAGTTTTGACAAAAAATATTACCAAGTTGAAAGATGAGGTCAAAGCTGTTTCTCCTGGACGTTGTCTTCCAAAGAGTATAAAAACCAAGACTCAGGTATTTTAATTTGTGTTGTTACTCATATTACTACTTACTAAAAACATTAAAATGCTACATTACTTAAGATTATTTTCCTTTTAGGTAATCTCCTTAAAATATTAAAATCTTTAAAATTACATGCTAACATTTTAAAAATCTGACTATTACATGCTAACATTTTTCCTTCCTTCATTAATTAATAGGAAATATATACAAACAAAAGCTCTACTGGTCTTTTAAACCTTTTAGATTTCAGTTGGAAGTCAGTAATTAGAATATTTATGGGTAATAATAATTGAAAAGATACCTTGAGGACAAAGTGATACAGGTACCTGAATGCTTGATGAATCCTTGACTGAAGAGTTTGAGCTTTATTTTGTAAGTTCTTAGTGTAAAAAGTTAAAGAAAAGTAACATTTTGACAGCATTATATAGAATGGATTAAAAGGAGGGAAATTCAAATAGATCAGTCTATGAGATATAAATAAGGAAGATAATTTCACCTGATAATTGATTTTTTTTAAAAGCTGCAGAGTTATATAATATTTATACTTGGTGCTGTGTGTATGGACATACATGTATAGAATCATGAGTTCATATTGATGTTTCTGATTCTAATCCAACACCACAGGGTTCTCCCTTTCCCTCTCGTATTCCATATTTTATCTTTGTATTCCCATAATGACAGCTTGCTTCCCACTAACATGAATACAATACTCCTTTGCACAGTCATTTACTACCTTCCAAATAGTTCCAGAATTGCTACAACAAGACCACGTCCAACAACGAAGTAAAAGATTCAAAATTTATTTGTATTCTTTAAAAGTTCACTGTACATTCGACTAAGGATATAGAGTCAGAACTGCGGTCTAAGATTACTTTTTTTTTTGTGGTTATGATATCAATTTGGTAAAGTTAGATGTATTTCTACTTGAATCTTGTTTTGGAACCGCTTCTCTTCATTCTTGCTGATTTAATATTATTTTGAATAAATAAAACAACATGATTCAAAAGTTAAACTATATAAAAGGGTATATATAGAAGACATTTTTCCTTTAATTCCTGCCTCTCTGTTCCCGTTCTTCCCTCCCTCTTGGTGTATATGTATTCTTCCCTACATAAAAGCACATCATATATTGGTCATTAATACCTTGGTATTTTTTTGTTATTGTTTTTCTTTTCACAGTTGTTCCCTGAAAATTACTTCATATCAGTCCATAGAGATCTCACTTTCACTTCTGTACAGAAAATGAATTCTAGGGAAATCAGTGGTACAAGTTAGGGAGCTGTTATAATAGTGTAGACCTGACGTGATTGATGGCTTGGACTACGGCCAAGGGACTGGATGGAGATAGAGAGGGAATGTATGGATGAAATGGAAATGTGTAAAAGTTCTTTGTTTAAAAAAAAAGTTTTTATAACTGTGAATATTAATAATTATTGTTACTTAAATTATTAATTACCATTTCTAGATGCAGAAAGAATTGCTTGATACAGAACTGGATTTATATAAGAAGATGCAAGCTGGAGAAGAAGTCACTGAACTTAGGAGAAAGTATACAGAATTACAGCTGGAAGTACGTTTTACCACAACTTACCCAGTATGCTAAAGAGAAGCAAATGTAGCATGGTGGTCAGTTTGAAATATATCCCCTCATTCTCATCAGTAATTATTGGTAGTCTGTGACGAATATAGGAAAGAGAGAAGAAGTTAGCGAATTTTTCAGAACTGGTAGATAAAATCTTATATTTAATGAGGGGTGGCAGCATTTCTGCCTGTATACCCAGGTCCCTCTACTTCTAGTGAGTTTGGTTCCTTTTCTAGCTCTCCTCCCTGAGACCAAAATCCATTAAATCCTTTTCAGGTATTCTTACAAGAGATCTTCTGTGCATATACAGGCATATTATATTGAGTTGCTGTTAGGCCCAGACGGTTAGTGGAGAACTATATTGAAAGCATGCTTACTTAAGTTTTGCCTATAGATGGTGCTGTGGATATTTATAAAAGAAAATAAACTACTTTCTTCTCTAATTTAGCTATGTGATTATTTTTGTAAGAAAAATCTAGTGATATTATGAAATTATTATAAATAATGGGTATTTTATAACACTTAGCAAAAAGATATTTAAAATTAGATTTAAAAAGTGTTTACATTTTGAAGTACAGAGATATTAATGCCATCAGTGTAATTGGTACTTGCCTATATTTGTAATTGTTTGATGCCACAATTAAAATTTTTTATTTGCTTCATCTGAGAATTGTGGTTTTTTTTCCCAAATTTGTTAGCACCTTGGTGTTTTTGGTTTGGTTTTTTTTTTTTTTTTTGACCTAGGACATATCTGAATTTAGTACTGGCATCCAGGTATTAACATAGCAGACTTAACATTTAGCAGCCACTTTGCTTGTCTTAAGGCTCTGTCTTGTCTGTCATAGGATGGCCTCTAAACCTGCATGCATCTTATATTCTCTGCAAACTTGGTAGGGCTGCCTGTACGTTTTGGACAAGATAACAGGTTTTGAAAAAGATGGATTTCTTTTTTGTCAATATAGAAACTGTGTTCTTTATTATAGAGATTACTTTCCTGTGTTTGTGGGACTTAACAAACAAGTTATCACTTTTAAACTTTTGGCTCATAAAATTTTAGTAAATAAATAATAGTTTTATCAATATTCTTTATTAGTCCATGCTTTGGTTCTCTATCATGATCTAGCTAAACACTGAATGGCATTTTCTGGTTTTCTTTTATGATGGTTAAACTTTAGTTTGTAGTTACTATTAGTATATGCAGATATTATAATGCAGTGTGTCCCAGAGTGTGTCATTTACAACGCCAGTTACATTCTTTGTTAATAGATATTAGTGCAAAAAGCTTCTGAGGCCAAATAAATTTGGAAAAGGTTAGATTAAACATGCTTTTTTGCCATAGGATTTCTTAAAGGTTTTTAATTTGTGAATCCCTAAATATACATAATCAATATTCTGTATTGCTCAAATTTATTTGTCCTTGGGTCTCCTTTTTCAGGGAACATTTTGAAACAGTATTCTTTAAAGCATACTTTTATATATGCTACTCCCGTTATGAACATTAATCCTTGACCTATGAAGTTTATTATTTGGATTTTAGGTTATTTTAGCTAATGTTAAGATGAACTGTCTCGAGGTGAAGAAACAAATATTAATACTTGAAAAGATCTGTCATTGGTGCTTGCTTGACATTTCCACTTGGCTATCTCACATCCTCAGACTGTACCTGTTCAGAATTGAGCTTATCTGGCCCCTAAATTACTCCATCTACACAGTTACCCAAACCAGAAACCTGGGAATCTTCATTGATTCCTCCCTTTCCTTTATTATCTGTATCTAACTAGTTACTAAGTGTTAGTACATGTTACTCCCTAGTGTATCGTAAATATGTTTTCTTCTTTCTTTCTTGTACTGCCACCAGTGTAGACAGAGCTTCCATCCTCAGTTGTTGGGGCTCCTTTAGTAGCCTACTGCTTTCCAGCTTATTCTCCTCTTTCTTCTACTATGTTCTTAAAACTAGCCAGAATAATATTTTAAATACTTATTTTACTGCATCACTCTACTTCTGTACTTAAAATGTTTAACTGGTTTTCATGGCTCTTAGGATAAAAATAAAAATCCTTAATTTAGTGGTCCTTAAAATTTTTCATGATCTGGTTCTGCTTATCTCTTTAGCCTCATTTTCTTCATCCCATGTGGTCCAGCTACACTGGATTTCCTGTGATTTCCTTGATTCCTTTGTTCATGTTGTAGCCCCTACCCCTCATTCTTACCTTGCTTGTTCTTTGTTTCTTCTTTGATTCATTGAACACATACTAAATAGTCTGCCAGCTGCTGTTGTAAGTGCTGGGGATCAGGTGGAGAATAAAGCAAGGACAAAACATCCTCATGCATATCCTAGCATATTTATTGCAGATATTTAATGTTCTGTTCAAGTCTTTAAGTAAAGCATTTCCTTACTTTTTGAGTTACTTTTTATTAATATAATTAAATAACTTGGTTGCTAAATGTCTCTTTACCCCTCTAGGATTTGAGTTTCAGGAAGGTAAGGACTTGAGCATAGGAAGTGCTCCTTAAATATTTGTGAAATGAAGGAATGGTGTGCTTTTCACATGGAACAGTGTGGTGGAATAGACATTAAACGTCCTACATTGGTTGTATAATGATGTTAGTGTAAGTGACCAAAATGATGAATTTGAGATAATTATACTAACTGAAGTCCACAGGCACAAAAATAGACACACTGTATTTAAAAGTCCTAAGTGGAAAAATTAATTTATTGTATATTAGTTATGTATCTATGTATTAAGCTGCTAAAGTAACATTTTCACAGCGTGTATTATTTGGAAATCAAGAATTGCTGATCTTTTTATGATTCAGTCTGAGATCTTGGAAAATACGAACTTAGTAGAAAAAGGCACATTTAACAATTTTAAATATTGCTTCACTTAATGTTATTTTATTTTCTAAATGCATTAGCTACCTAAATTTACGATCACTTTAAAAACTAAAACCTTAATTTATATATGAGATCCTTTCTAAGCCAGTATTTGAATATGATATCAAATTGTATAAAAGTTTGACTAATCTGATAGAATATATATAACGTGTGGCTTGTGTTAGAAATTGTGGCATTTAACTTGTATGTCTATAATCTCTTCAAGGCTGCAAAACGAGGGATTCTTTCATCTGGTCGGGGTAGAGGAATTCACTCAAGAGGTCGAGGTGCAGCTCATGGCCGAGGCAGGGGTCGAGGTCGAGGTCGAAGTGTGCCTGGTCATGCTGTGGTGGATCATCGTCCAAGGGCATTGGAAATTTCTGCATTTACAGAGAGTGATAGAGAAGATCTTCTTCCTCATTTTGCGGTACTTTCTTACTGTCCACCAGAACAAGTACTGATAGTCATTGTTGGGAATAATGAATATTAAAGGGGAAATTATGAAAATGATGAGTAATTGAATCCCATTAATCTGACCAAAGGGTTTGATTAATCTATAAAAATCTTTTGTTCATTATTTAAAAAGCAGATACTTTTGTTTGTTATCTGGAAGAAACATTACTATTCTTAACACTTAGTAGGCCTTCAGATATTGTGAAATGAATGATTTAAATTTTGCCATTGCAGAGGGAGATGTTCAGTAGGATAGTGTCATTTGATACTTTTAAGGGAAAATTTAACATACAAGCCATCCAGAGCTCTTTAAATTAAGATGGAATTTTATTTGTTAATACTGTATTCTTGATTTAGATGACCTTAGAAATGAAGCAAGATGAAATTTTGATACATGATGTTGAAGTTGCCTTAGTGCCAGGGTATAGAGTCTGACCTATGAGAAAGGAGAATGAGATTCTAGTCCTGGCTAACCCATTATTTAACTTGTACTTCCTGGGATTCATTTGGCTCATGTGCAGAATGGAAATTATATTTGCTTAAAGGCCTTTACAACTTAAATGTTGTGATTCTTAGTGGTATTCCAAAGGTTAGTTACTAAGCATCAGTCGTGCCTTCAGGGATATAGTAATTGCTCTGGAGATAATGAAGGAAATACCAGTTCTTTACCTTCAAGGATTTTATATGTATTATTTTAACACAGACCAGTTAACATAAACTACAAACATAATTTATGGCATGATCAAGTTAAATTCATTAAAAACTAAGTAGTAACTTAGAGAAGTATCTTTTACACAGGCAGATGATAGAAAAAGCATAGTAGAAAATTTCATAAGGGAGTAACTGGAGCTTAGATCTTGACGGATCAATAAGCTTACAGATAGGTACACAAATGATTAAGTCTTTTGGAAATTCAGATTTACATGTTTGATAGTCACATTCGAAGCTGTTAACAGGAGTTACAAAGGTGAAACTATACTTTGTTGGGACAGAGAGAGTTACTGAAAAAAATGGTATATGTTTAAGAAATAAATGATTAATATTTAAGGAAGAGGAATCTGGAAAGTCCTATGCTTGATTGCTTCAAAGGGAGAAAGAAAGGAAGCAGAGAACTAAAAAGGATCTTGGAAATAATATAGCCCAATTCTTTCCTGCTATCCCTCTCATTCCCCCCTTTCACAAAGATAAGGAGATCCAGATAATGTTTCGCATACAGTTATTCAGCTAATCAGGAAATTAGCAAAGAATACATAATCTAAAATAATCTAAATAAACAAGGTGAGTTAGTTATGAATTTATTTTAGTGAGACTAGGATGGTTTTGGTTTTATAAATATTCAGAGCCTCTAAATGGGGATTCTTACCTGCATTTGGAGATTTGAACTCCATTCAAAATTAGTAGTGGTGATGCACATTTAAAAATGAGCAGTCTTTAAGAATGCAGGTTTAAAGTGTAGTTCTCTGTCTCAACCTGGGATTAGAACCTGTGGCAAGTAACTGAGAAAAAAACCTACATTATCATAGGACCATTGACTATTACAAAATGTGATTAACAAAATGCTTTCTTTAATTTATCCACTGGGACTGTTAGCAGTAGCAGTAGTAATAAAAATTATAGAGCATTTATTTTGTGGCAGGCATTATTCTGAGCACCTTATGTAATTCAATATATTATGAATTATTTCAACAACCCTCTGAGGTAGGTACCTTTATTATGCCCACTTTAGAGATGAAGATGAAGCTTGAAGAGATTATGTAACTTCTTCAAGTTCTCAAAGCTAGTAACTGACAGAACTGGGATCTGATTGATCTAAAGTCCATTATCTTCATAGAAATTTTTGATATAGAGTGTGTGTGTGTGTGTGTTTTTAATAAGACTATGGTTACAATTTTATTTTGGGTAAAAAAGGAGAAAGGTATTAGTGATGATATATAAAGGACTAGAATTTTATATGATAAAGGTTGTTGTTTATAGAAGAATCCTTCTACATAAAGAAAAAATAAAATCCCAACAAACCAGAAGCAAGCATCATTTAACATATTTAACTCTTTAAAATAGAGAATGGTGTACAGGAGTATGTATTAAGAGTGAAAGCAGGGTCAGTTTGAATGTTAAACTTAACTCAAAAGACCTTGACTCTCCTGGTATTTAAATTACTTTGGGAAAATTATTTAAAAAATTCTCTGAATCTTTTTTTTTTTTTTTTTTTGCACCATCTTTAAATTGAGAATGACACAAAAGAAACAGTTCTGAGGATTAAATATCCTGTTTTAGAAAGAATGTAGCAAGCACATTATGGGATTGGAATAATGAGTATAGAAGGAAGGGCAGTAAGGAAACCCAGTCTTTGACACTTTTTCATTGATTTAAAGCACAGTTTGAACAAGTGTAAGTGTCCCTAATTCTAAAAAATGTAGAATTATAAACAGGACCACTCTTTATCTTGTAACATCAAGTACTAAAATGAATTATTCATCATTTTTTTTTCTGTTAATCACCATGAATTGTTATATATTCTGGGTTACATATATTGGTATTTTAAAAACCATTAGGATTTTGGATGTTTCGAAATATTTATTTGGAGGAAATACTTCTTTTTAATTTAAAGCAATATGGTGAAATTGAAGATTGTCAGATTGATGACTCTTCACTTCATGCAGTAATTACATTCAAGACAAGAGCAGAAGCTGAAGCAGTAAGTATTAGAAATCTAATTTATTGAAAATTCAGATTTAAATGTTTTATAAATATTGCTTTTAAGTTTTAATATAAAGGAAAAAATTTTAACTTACTAAATAACTACATTTTGACAATAGAAGGTCATATGAATTGGAATTCATGGCTACAAAGAATGTCCTAAAGCAGTTTGGCAATTCTGTTTATAACATGATAGAATTAGAATATATAGTTAGTTATTACCAAGTTGAATGTTAAGTTGTATTGTCTTGAGACACCAGCATTTCTCCTTCCTTTCTCTTTCACGTGGGAGGGGGCCACCCCACTTTCCATTACCCTTTTTCTCAGCTGGCCCAGAACAAAGTCTGCTTTGCAGAATGAGTGATGAGAGAGAGATAAGAATCCAGATGGTGGTTCTTCTAAGCCATCTTACTAGTCTGCCACTTACTAGTCTCAGTAAACTGAACTCTAAAGAAGTGTCCCTAGCTCAGTATACCCCCAACTAGGCTTCTACAAGTTTTTTGCCCAAGGTATGATATATAGCTTTAGCTTTTAGGGTACTTATAGTATAGTTGTCTTAAACTGTGTATCTTGAATTGTCTTTACAAAAAATGATCAGGTATATGTAGCCTTGTCTTTCATCTGGGTTTAAAAGATTAAAAGGAAAATGGATATGAGGTATGGGAGATTCATAGGAAATGTTTTTAGCCTTGTGTGTTCTTTCTTCAGGATTGTAGAGAGTTAGATGTACTATTTTGTCCTTGGAAAAATGCAGTAAGAGTTCCAAACAGTTAACCTCAAGTGAATGGAAGAGTGGTATGCCTTTCAAAAGTTTTAACTTGATTGTGGTCTAAATTAAAGTTTTAAAAAAAACTCTCTAAGTTGATGTATCTTCTTTGTAGTGAATACTCCCTGCCAACACAATGATACCTTATTGGGGACCTAACCTGGTAGGAGTTGCACTTGGGACATTGTAACCAGTAACAGAGTGTGGGTCTGAAAAATCTCAGTTCAGCTGGGGCCCTGGAATGACTGTGGTGTAGTGGATCATTTTATACAATAAAAATGCATCTTAAGGTTTTTTAAAATCTGATTTGGGTAATCTCTTCATTTAAAGATCTTTTGTGAGACTATTATTGATGAGAGTTAAAAGTTTTTCTTATAAACTTGTATGTATTTATGTGATGTTAAAAAGTAGGCCCTTTTAAAAATACTTTGTAATATTTTTTTGAGAGAGAGAGAATCAGGAGTCAGATGCTTAACCAAAATTTGATCATATTTTTTCTAAAAGTACTATTGAGTATAAGTTAAGAATAAGCTTCCTTTAATTGATGGCTTTAGTGACAATTTTCAGTGTAATGTTAGGTAGCTTGAGTATGTCTATGTTCTGTTTTCTAGGCAGTAGTCATAAAACAGTGGTAGCTATCATTGTATAAATGTTTAAAAGTTTGTTAAAACTTTTCCTTGCCTATGTGACTGAGCACTGGAAGTTTTGCTCTTAAAAGATTTATTGACATATATACCCTGTTGCTTTTTCCACCTCACACGTGTGTGTGTGTGTGTGTGTGTGTGTGTGTGTGTTTAAAATAAACAATGCAGGTTTTCCAAATGAGTAGCAATCAGTTGAAAAGACGGGATTAATGTATAAGAAAGACTTTAACACTGAATTATATGGAGGTTGACAAGTTAGATATAATAAGAATTACCTTTTCAGAGTAAATACCATTTTAGTTGGAATTATTCAGTAGGCTGAAAGGACGAACTACCATTACTATGATAAACATTTGAAATAAAGTTATGGAAGTTGTTAAACCATAATCATTTTCTAAACCAAAAAATTCTTAAAATTTTGTAACCTTCTATAGTAGAAGAGAATAGAAAATTAAGGTGAAGCGGATCTTCTACAAGCAGGATATAGGCTAAAGCAATGGTTTTCAAACTTCTGGATTTCCGGAATCATTAATGTTTAGGAATTTAAAAATTAATGTTTTGACATAGAAATGTCAGTTTTTAATTTTGTCAAGGAAGAATGCGTTAAAACTACAACCAAATTTCATGTACCGTCATCATCATTTTATAAAATAAAGAAAATCTTAACACCAAAAATGTAAGAAGATATAAACTCAAGGTAAGTGATAAGTCCTCCCAAGGGAAAAAAAAAAATGTCAACCTTTTTCAGCATTTATTTCCAAATATTTCATTGTTCTTACTGAACCATTTTTCTAGATGAGTGAATAAATGTCTCTGTTATTTTCTAATCAGTAGATGCACAATATTTCAAAGTGAAAGTACAAAATAAGGTACTTGAGACATTCAAGTATGACTGAAAGGTCAAAAATTGTCCCCATATGGATGTACCAAACATAATCAACCGTGTTACGGACTTTAAATTGTTTTTATTCTTTTACAGTGTAACAGTGAATATTCTTGGTGCATATTTCCTCTATGTACATACATGAATATGACTATAAGATATATTCTTGATAACATTATTGCTGGATGACAGGATATATGCATTAAAATTTTTGATGAATAGCTCTAAAATTGCCCCCCACCTATGCCCCTATAGGTTTTACCACATTTGCTTGCCCATCAGAGATGTATGAGAGTGTCTTTTCCCCATACACTTGTCCTGTGTGTACTCTGAATAGTGGTTTGCTTATGTAAAATACATGGGCACATAAGCCAGAGTGAGATATCAGACAATTTTATTTTGTTAAAAATAGCAACTCATTTCAGTTTAAATACACTTTTATGATTGAAGTTGAACATTTTCATGTTTAAATGCTCTTTATTTCTGTTTCTGTCTACTGTTTGTGTTATTTGTGTATTATCTAGCCAAGTTGTCTATTCTGATTGTTTTTCTTTTCTGAATGAATTATGGGAACTCTTTATACACTAGAATATTAGCTCATTAGTTTTAAACATTTTTATGAAAATTCATAAGAATTTTATTTGATGTAAGAAATAAAATAGGAGTCTACTTGATTTCATTGAGTAAAGCTATTTTTCCCACATTTGAGTGAAATACCCATAGGATGTGGGTACTGTTACTTAGTACTGTTTTCTTCCATTGATTGGTTTTCTTTCCATGTGCCTCTTCCTCACTGTTTTAATTAAGCTAAACTTTTTAATATGTTTTAATAGTTTGTCAAGGCTGTTTGGATTCCCTCTTATTATGCCCAGCTATTACTACTCATTTTCAGAATCGTCCTAGTAGATTTTATGTCTTTATTTTTTATATAAGCTTTAGAAATTACTCACTTGGCTCTAAAAAAAATACATTATAGGAGAATTAACATCTTTATGATACTAAATACTCCTCTAGACTATCATTCTTTTATCCTTTTTTATCCCCTAATACCATTTAAAGGTTTACTTTATATGTATATAAATAAAATACACATATGTATTATATGATAGATATAGGTAATATCATATGTTACAGATTATAATATAAAGTATATATAAATAACATGTATAATTTATATAGGTAAATATATTAGTAGTTTTCCCCAATCATTTAACTTATAGTTACTTTAAATGAGGTATTTTTTTCCATTATATTTTCTCTTGGTGGTTTATATGTAGGAAAACTATTTGTTTTATTAAATATATAACTGCCATTTTGCCAGCTGTGTCTTCCTCTCTCTCTCTGCCCCTCCCCTGCTCATCCTCTGTCTCTCTTTCTCTCTCTTTCAAAAATAAACATTAAAAAAACTTAAAAAAATTAAAAAAGGGAAATGTCAAATAACAGGAGTAGTAATGTCTTCACTCATGAAGTGTCGTTCATTGTCTTGCTTGTGAAATGAATGAAAATGATAAATTAATGAAAACATTTTAAATATTTTTAGTGATATATGTGATGCTGGCTTTTTAGGTTAAGGTAGCATACAGTTGATTCCTGTTTTTGAATGCTGTAGAGATTTTTGGGTTTTGATGAGAAATAGATTTTATCATAAATTTTGTGTATTTGTAGAAATATTAAGGTTTTTGTTTTCTTCTGTCTATTTATATTGTTTCCTAAGATTGAACTAACTGTATAAATCCCCACAGTACTGTATTTGTTGGATAAATCCTGAAATCTGAAGTCTGTTTTTTTTTTTTTTTTACTTAAAAAAATATTGTTACTGAAGTATAGATGACATATATATTCCATATATACACATTCCAGGTGTACAGCATAGTGATTTGACAATTCTGTATATTATTTAGTGTTCACCACAATAAGTGTAGTCACCATCTGTCACCATATAACATTATTACAATTTTCATATTTCCTGTATTATACTGTTCATCTCTGTGACTTACTTATTTTTTAACCAGAAGTTTACCTTTTAATGCCCTTCATGTATTTCGCCATTCCCCCACCCTTTTCCAGGACTCTGGCAACCACCAGTTTGTTCTCTGAATTTAAGTGTTTGTTTTTGTTTTTTTAGATTCTGTATGTAAGTGAAGTCATGTGATATTTTTCTTTCTCTGACTTATTTGACTTAGCATAATAGTCTCCAGATTCATCCATGATTTTGCAAATGACAAGGTTTTATTCTTGTATTTATTTTTACTTTTAATTCCGTTTTCAAAAGTAAGATTGGTTTGTAGGTTGGGAGGGATATATTATTTTTATCAGTTACCAATATTACTATTTGGCTTTATAGAAGCTACTTGAAAAGCTTCCGTCTTTCTTTTGCTCTGAGTTCATTTTAATTAGCACTAGAGTTATATTTTCTCAAACATTTAATAGAATTTGTAAAATTATCAGGGTTTATTGATTTTATACCATGTAATCTTTTTTTTTTTTACATTTATCCATTTTAAAGAGACAGAGGAAGACAGCATGAGTAGGGGAGGGTTAGAGAGAGGGGGACACAGAATCTGAAGCAAGCTCCAGCGTGTGAGGTGTCAACACAGAGTCCGACATGAGGTTCAAACTCACACACTGCAAGATCATGATCTGAGCTGAAGTCGGATGCTTAACTGACTGAGCCACCCAGCACCCTTAGACCATGTATCTTTTTACAACCTTATTTTTAGAAAAGATTTGTTTATATGTATTTTTTTCTTTTTTGGCTTTACTTTGGTACTTTGGTAGTTTCTCATTTAGATTATCAACTATTTGCATTGAGATGAGCAGTTAATTTTATCTTCCTCTGAACTTAGTTTCCCCCCACTTTATCCTTTCTATTTGTATATTTTTAGGTTGAGTCCTACTTCCACGTTTATGACCACTGCCACCTTGCTCAGATAGACATCCCCTGTAATATATTTAAATATGTTTCTTATTAACATTTTATAAGTAGTTATGAAGTTCATTTTTTTTTTTTTTTTACAAATAGTTTATTGTCAAATTAGTTTCTACATAACACTCAGTGCTCATCCCCAAAGTGCCCTCCTTCATGCCCATCCCCCCCTCCCCCCCACATCCATCAGTCCTCAGTTTTTGTCAGCATTCAAGAGTCTCTCATGGTTTGCCTCTCTCCCTTTCCCCCACCATTTCCGCCCTTCTTCTCCCCCTTGTTCCTCCGTCAAGTTCCTCCTAATCCTCCTATACGTGCAAACATATGATATTTGTCCTTCTCTGCCTGACTTATTTCGCTCAGCATAACACCCTCAAGGTCCATCCATGTTGCTACACATGGCCAGATTTCATTGTTTCTCATTGCCATGTAGTATTCCATGGTATAGATAAACCACATCTTCTTGATCCATTCATCTGTTGATGGACACTTAGGCTCTTTCCATGTTTTAGCTATTGTGGAGAGTGCTGCTATGAACATTGGGGTACATGTGCTCCTATGCCTCAGCATTTCTGTATCCCTTGGGTAAATTCCTAGCAGTGCTATTGCTGGGTCATAAGGGAGTTCTATTGTTAGTTTCCTGAGGAACCTCCACACTGTTTTCCAGAGGGGCTGTACCAGTTTACATTCCCACCAACAGTGTAGGAGGGTGCCCGTTTCTCCACATCCTCGCCAGCATCTAGAGTTCTCTGATTTGCTCATTTTAGCCACTCTGACTGGCGTGAGGTGGTATCTCAGTGTGGTTTTGATTTGTATTTCCCTGATGAGGAGGGATGCTGAGCATCGTTTCATGTGTCTGTTGGCCATCTGGATGTCCTCTTTGGAGAAGTGTCTGTTCATGTCTTCTGCCCATTTCTTCACTGGGTTGTTTGTTTTTCGGGCGTGTAGTTTGGTGAGTTCCTTATAGATTCTGGATATTAACCCTTTATCTGATATGTCATTTGCAACTATCTTTTCCCATTCCGTTGGTTGCCTATTAATTTTCTGGGTTGTTTCCTTGGCTGTGCAGAAGCTTTTAATCTTGATGAGGTCCCAACAGTTTATTTTTGCTCTTGATTCCCTTGCTTTTGGGGATGTGTCAAGTAAGAAGTTGCTGCGGTGGAGGTCAAGGAGGTTGTTTCCTGCTTTCTCCTCTAGGGTGTTGATAGTTTCCTGTCTCACGTTCAGGTCCTTTATCCATTTTGAGTTGATTTTTGTGCATGGTGTGAGAAAATGATCTAGTTTCATTCTTCTGCATGTTGCTGTCCAGTTCTCCCAACACCATCTGTTAAAAAGGCTGTCTTTTTTCCATTGGATATTCTTTCCTGCTTTGTCAAAGATCAGTTGGCTGTATACTTTTGGGTCCACTTCTGAGTTCTCAATTCTGTTCCATTGGTCTATGTGTCTGTTTTTGTGCCAATACCATACTGTCTTGAGGATGACAGCTTTGTAGTAGAGGCTGAAGTCTGGGATGGTGATACCTCCCGTTTTGGTTTTATTTTTCAGTATTACTTTGGCTATTCGGGGTCTTTTGTGGTTCCATACAAATTTTTGGATAGTTTGTTCTAGTTTTGAGAAGTATGCTGGTGCAATTTTGATTGGAATTGCATTGAATGTGTAGAGTGCTTTAGGTAGTAATGACATCTTAACTATATTTATTCTTCCTATCCATGAGCATGGAATGTTTTTCCATTTCTTTGTGTCTTCTTCAATTTCCTTCATAAGTTTTCTATAGTTTTCATCATACAGATCTCTTGTATCCTTGGTTAGGTTTATTCCGAGGTATTTTATGGTTTTTTGTGCAATTGTGAATGGGATCAGTTTCTTGATTTCTCTTTCTGTTGCTTCATCATTGGTGTATAAAAATGCAACCGATTTCTGTACGTTGATTTTGTACCCTGCAACTTGGCTGAATTCTTGGATCAGTTCTAGTAGGCTTCTGGTGGAGTCTGTCGGGTTTTCGATGTAGAGTATCATGTCATCTGCGAAGAGTGAAAGTTTGACTTCCTCTTTGCCAATTCTGATGCCTTTGATTTCCTTTTGTTGTCTGATGGCTGATGCTAGGACTTATGAAGTTCATTTTTTAATGTACATTTTAATGAAATGGTTGCAGAACTCTGGAAGCACCTACCACAGTAATTTCTGAAAAGCACTGAGCTAATTGATATTATATTATTAAGCAACAGTAACACAGTATGATACTGGACTTGACTAAAAGATTCCAGAGGTCATAACACAAAATAATATCAGAATAACCAAAAATATTCTGAAAAGGATACCAAATTCATTGTGAAATAGAGAACATAGTAATGGTATGGATAGAGAATAGAACAAAACTGAGTCCAGAAAAAGACTAAGGTATATATGAAATTTATAGAGGATTACAAGAAAATGTTTATTTAAATCAGGGAGTTTAAATTTACTGAATGATCTGCAAATAGTGTTAGGAAATTGTTAGGAAAAAATAATACGTTATTATCTCTTTTTTTGGTATCAAACAAATTCAAGATGAATAAAGTTTTTTTTTTTTTTTAAATACATATGACTAGTAAAAAGCTAGGGGATTTCTAAAAATAATCAGTGTGGAGAGAGCTTTTTAAAGGACTGGCACAATCTGAAAGCCATAAAGGTAAACATAGATAAATTACGGAATGTGAATATTTAAGTTTCTTTATGACAAAAACAAAAGAACTACTGCTGTTTTCCCTTTTCCTTCAGTAAAAACATGCATTATAAACAAAACTAAGATCTATTTGAGAAAAGAATATTTTGCCAAATATGACAAAATTCCATTCAAGAAATTAGTTTAAATATTATGTAAACTGTTTCCATGTATATATATCATACATGTGTATATACACAAACCCTTTTAGTATGTACACAGGACTTCTGTTAGTGTATTGTAGAACTTTTTCCCCCAAATTATTCATGGGATAGTGGTTATCTTTTCGAGAAGGGATAATCATGGATTATAATTTTTTAATATTATGTGACCTGAGATTTTTGAATTTTTAAAATAATATAATATGAGTGCAGAACTTTTTTTTAACTTTAAGGATTTTATGTTGCAGATTACCTAAAATAAATTTGCATCTTCAAAAAGCAAGAACTCCGTTATCTCAAAAATTTATACAGCCAGTAGTCAAAAGTTTCTAATGGAGAACGTTGATAAAATGTTAAGTATATCTAGCTTTGAAAACCATCCTGTAAAATGTTAAAATTAAAACTTTAAAGAGTTGTAGACTCAGCTTATAAATTTGAAGATGTGTGTGCTAAATACAGAGATTTACAATATTAATATTAGATCATCAGAAATGTTTGTCAAGAACTTATAGAAATGTCAGTGAAATTTTTGGCCTTTTTTAACTAGATGAAAAGACGGGCATTATGAGTAGACATCTTGCATGAGACTATGAAAATATTACGTATATTGTTATGTAATAGTTACAGCTTTAAAAATTTACAAGTTGTTTGTTAAATTGAATATCATATATAAGTTCTTAAAAATTTTTTCGGTTATATAACACTATGATGAAGCCATGGACTAAAAACTCCTCCTCAGCTGCATTTTAGTAGGCATGAAATCTTTTAAATTTATCATAGATTTTTATGTGCAGATTTGTAATTTATACCTAGACTTTAATATTATACAACTCATGATCAGTTATCATTGAACATGTAATTGTTTCTAGATTTTGCATTTTGCTATACTTTGAGGTGTACTATAAATCTTTTGTGACTGAGTTATTTCAATATGTTAACATTGATTTATATAAGTTCATGTTACTTTAATTTGAATGCATGATTTTTAATCAACCACTTAATTGTAGCATATTCATTAATTTAAATTTAACTTACATGTAGTTTTGAAAGCTTTGTAGGAAGTACTTTAGTTTCAATAGAAATATTCAGGGTTTTTTCCCTCATGGAGATAACTTATATTTTGAAACAGTGACGTGTCAAACATTGTATCTTTAAAAATAATATACTTTAACCTACTGATATAATTTAAAATAATACGATACTTTACACATGCAAAATTATTCTTATATTTGTTAGAGGTTTCCAGTTTGTAGTTACTACATATGTCATTTGTAAATTAACAAAAATTAAAATGCACTACGATATGTTTAGTCTGTTGATCCTAACTTGGACTTCAGTTCAGAACCTACAGCCAGGATCTTGAAATACTTTGAGATTGTTGCCTTGAATAGCAACTATCATTGTATTGTAAACATGTAGACTAGTTCTAGTCAGATACAGGACAGTCGTAAAGTAGTTCTATTCAAGTATGAGAAAGTGTTCTTGTTTCCTGTTTAAATGTATTTTCAATCACAAGGCTGATTTTAGAAGCAAATAACCATAAAAAGTAAATTATAATAATAAGTAGTAAATGGAGAGATAACCACAAAGTAAACAGATAGCTGTCTTCACTTTTGTTTTACTAATTTAAATATTAAGTACTATAACATTTCATTGTTCTCTTCATAAATTATTAATGTTCTACATTCTAATGTTCTTAATTGTTTTAGGCTGCAGTTCATGGAGCTCGTTTCAAAGGGCAGGATCTAAAACTGGCATGGAATAAACCAATAACTAATATGTCAGCTGTTGAAACAGAAGAAGTTGAACCTGATGAAGAGGAAGTATGTTTTTTTTTTATTTGTCTTTGTCCTCAAATGTTTACATTATTTATGAATTGTGATTTTATGGCTGTGATTTTAACATAAAACTTTTATTCCTGAGCCATATTCCAGGCAGGGGATGTCAGATAAATGCAGACAACTTTAAATTTTCCGGATTAATGAGAACTGTGGATTGCTAATCCAAAAAAAGAAAAAAAAAAGAAAAAAAATTATATATATATTCAGTTTTCATTTACTCTTAGAAAACAATAATTATTCATTAGATTTTTTATCCACAGGAAATCTTGTAATATTTTTAAGTTTTAGTATATATCCTACTCATTTGCTTTATTAACGTTTCAGGTTTCCTTTATTTTAATTCATATCATTTTAGTTCATTAGAGTGAATGCCTACTAAATGGTAGATACTGTGATAGGCACAAAAATGAATAAGACACGGTCCCTATCCTCAAGGAGCTTATAATCTGGAAAGCGGGGTGGTGACAGACACATAAAAAATTAATCATAATGAAAAGCAGAGTGATCTGCTCAATAAAGATTTGAACAATATGCTGTGGGAACCCGTGGGAAAGAGTGATTATTTCTGTTCAGAAGAATTTTAAAGGTGATGACAGTGTGGAGGTGAACCCTGAGTGATAAGAAAGCTTTCCATAACCAAGAGCTGGGACTGCGAATATAGTTGAGAGAGGCATTTTAGGTGTGGAAGAGGAATAGGTGTGGTACAGTCTATTTTTCTTGGATACAGCAATTAGTATGATGGCTGAGAGGTGTAAGCATAAAGAAAAATGAAATGGGAGAGCGCTTTGAAACCATACACTTAAAAATAAACAACTCTATTTTAATCACGAAATAAGCTGTAGGAAAAAGTTGAGGAAGTTAATAAATAAAGGTAAGGTGGGGAACTGATTCCATGTTTTACCTTTGTTAGATTCTTGTAATGGCACTTCATTTTGTTTGAAGAGCATTCAAGGCTGTTATACATATCCATAGTCAAATGCAAGAATAAAATGTGTATTTTGAAACTCATATACATGATTTGTCATTTTATATTTTAGATTATACCTTTGTCCTTCCATGAGTTTGAATTGAATGGGGAGAAAAGCAGGAGAGCTCCTGGTATTAGGTATTTTGAAAAGTTTGAAAAGCAGTCTGAGAAGCTTTTATGAAGGGAATGGGGGAAAGCAGGAATTCTATAAAAGAAATGTTTGTTACGTATAGCAGAAAAGAAATAGAAATCTTGATAGACTTTTCTACAAGTTATTGGTTGATTTAGTGTCCAGGGTTAGGGTAAGTCAGAAGATTTATTGATGTTTTCTTTCTTTTTTTTTCTTTTTCTTTTCTTTCTTTTTTTTTTTTTTTAAACAAAAGGTAATGAGTAATGTTTTGTAGGTGTAGAAGATGGCATAATTTGATCGAGTGAGGCAGGAGAAATGGCATGTACAAAAGCTTACTTAGATATTTTTTTAGTGCCTATTTGATAGAAGCAATAGAATAGAAACTGTAGAGAAACCATTAAGTGGATAAAGGTTGCTTTTCTTTGTTTCTTGAATATTGTAGCTGTAGAAATACCGTTTGTATTCGACTCTGTTGAGAGAAATCAGTATTTAAAAGTGTCACCTTTTTTCTTTTCTTTTTTTTTTGGGTAAATTCCTAAATGCATTTTAACCTAAAGTTTCAGGAAGAGTCTTTGGTGGATGACTCATTACTTCAAGATGATGATGAAGAAGAAGAGGACAATGAATCTCGTTCTTGGAGAAGATGATTTGACTGATCATTGATCTGCATATGCTAGAACTCTACCTGTGTTTCATTAGTATTATCTAATGTACTTTTACATATTTGTAAAAACAATTTTTTGGTAAAATGTGATGAAGATGGATTTCACAAATAGACAAAAGAGAAGAAAACTACCTTCTGATCCTGTATTTTGAAAGATTGATGTTTGCATTTTATTTCAGTAAACAATTGCTAAAGACATCACACTAGAAACATATGCAATGTTTTTATTACATACTTCTACTGAACATTACAGAATTCTTTGGGTTCTTTGTAATTTAATGAATAGGTCTAAAAAGTTACGACCAATACTTGTTATAACTTAGAGGATTTTGTGTTACTCCAAATAAGGAATGAATTTGCATTTAAAATCTTAATGAATGTTTTCAAAAATGAATAGATAACATAGTACTCTAACTAAAGTCTCCAAGTTATGTATTCATAATATTACATAGTAGTATGCTTAGGCTTTACTATGTATTAGCCTTTTGTTGGACTTGTGTATGTATTTTACCATATGGGTTTTAATGATAACGGTGTATGACTGCTTTGCATATGAGTCCTTATACATTCAGATGTTAAAAATAAAGTGGAATGGTCTTTTGAAAAGAAAAGAAAAGAAAAAAAAAAAAACAATGACAAAAAACCCACAAAGGCCAAGACAATGTTCCTTGATTTTAAAAAAGAAAAAAAAAGGAAAGAAAAGAAAAAAATGAAAATAAATAGACCATTCCAGATGGCGATCTACCCTTCCCCCCAATTATCACAAAAGGAGCTATAATCACTAACTTATTAATAATGATTACTGGTACCTTTACAAATAATGTACAATCCAATGTTAAAAAATTATACCACTTCAGTTTGGTTTGATCCTATAAATTTTCAACAGCTGTCTTAAAATTTAAAAGCAGGCTGATTAGTTTGGAACCAGACTTCAAGTAGAGCTAACATTTGGTGAATAAGAAAACATCACATTACATTTTGGATGTATGAAAGAAAACTTGACCATTTGAAGATATATGAATAAAGAAATGTACTATAGATACTACTTTAGGAAAACACTGTTTGGTAAGTGTTCCAGTCTGATATTTTAAGTGTGCATTTCCTATACTTTGTATAAAAATCTTTGACATTTACAACAGTATTGTGATTTTTAAGTGGATTTCTGTGGCAAATGAACATAATCATTGAAAGTTGATAAAACAGCAGTTTCAGGAAATAAATGCATTCTTTGTAGAATGAGGGGGTGGGAGATTACCTATTTATCTTTTAAAATACATCATTTCAGTTCCAAGTGTTTCTGCCCCTCCTGAGATTATAGTGATGATATTAAATGTCACATTAAAAAAAAAACACTTTCTTCCCATACTGGGATCCTCACAGTCACAAACTTAATTCCAACACCATAATCTTCTGTCAGTGGGGTAACTAATGGATGCTGTTCCTCTTTTCTTTTTCCTCCCACACTTAGGGTTCAATTTGTGTATATTCTTGATGGTAATGCTATTTCATAGGAATATTTGGGCTTAAAGTTGGTACACAAGTTAATATTTAAAATGTCAAAATCAGTTTCTTTTGTGAAAATAGTGACTTTACTCAAAACTTCTTTACTTAGATCTGTGATATATTTTTATGTAGTCTCTTGTATGTTGACTATGTGCTATTCTGATTCATTAGGTAAGTTTGTTTTCTTTTCTTTTTAGTAGTCGTGAAAGGTGCCAAATTGGCAGAGGCTCACGTTTCTTCTATTTACACCAAACAGGTATTATAAAGAAAGAAAATCTTTCAAAGGCCAGTTAAATCTCCATGCTGATTTTTGGCTTTATAATTTGATTAGTAGATTTTAGCCTGATATTTTAAATTATTGTAAAATTCCCTTAAAATGTAACCAAAATTACCTCCTACTTCTCTAAAACCATAAATAGCTTATCAGTTTCCCTAGTCTTAAATTCTCTATTAACCCAAAGTTAAAATGTTTTAAGCCATGTTGCTTTGAATGAATCAGAAAACAAGTGTTTCAGTTTGGTCCCAAAGTATGGGGATTAAATATTATACTCATTCATTAGGGTCACAACTACATTATTATTCTCATTAATAAGATTTTACTGTAAATATTGCTTAGCATTTAATTAATCTATTGGATTTTTAAAATTACTATGTTTATAAATACTAGTACTCTGCATGTACTATCATGTGTTCCGATTTAAAATTTAAGATACCCTTTGAAGTAGCTGCTGATTCCCATTTTACAGATAAGGAAACTTAGGCTAATAGAGATGGAGTGACTTGCCCAGAGTCACAGCTAATGAGTGAAAGGACGAGATTTAAATGCAGACATTCTGATTTCAGTGCCAACTTTTTTTCTTTTTTTTACTTCTACATTGTTATTCCTTCCTAATTACTGATTGAGCATGAGATTGTGTTTGCAGTAAATGTGGTAGTTCTTGCACAAAATTAGTAGACTTCCTGGTCATTAGCTAGTTCATACCTTTACCCTCCCTTCTAATACAGCACTTTGTTCATATCTCTGTTATAGTACTTATGTTGTAATATAATTTATCTGGTTTATATGTCTGTCTTCCCCACTAAATTACAAGCTCCTCTAGGAAGGGGACCATGTCTTATTCATCTTTTATCTCTAGTGATTATCACAAAGCCTGGCTCATAGTGGGCACTCAGATGTTTGGTGGATGAATTAATGAATGAATGCATATTTAAATCTCCAATAACGGAGTGACAATTACCTCCCTTGTTAATTCTTATCAATTTTTCAAGTCTCTCCTGAAGGTCTTCTCTGTTATTGAGACTGTTTTGCTAAACAGGTGATACAGTTAAGTGTTGCAACAGTGGGGTTACAAATACTGATGGAGGAATATACATGTAGTCTAAGTGGAAATTTCCACAGCACTTTAGTAAGATAATAATTTAGAGTATTACAAGTTGTCACTTTCAGGAGTAAAACAGCTTTTGGTTTCTGTCGGTATGCAAGAATAGAAATGCCAAGAGCCACCAATCTAGTCCATCCCACTAATATTCTTTATATCCAGAGATGACCTCACATAAAGTACCAGATAAGAGTTAGGAGATTTAGCTTATGGTCCCAGCTTTGCAACTAACTCTCTGGCTTTAAACAAGTCTCAATCAGGGGTGTTTCCTTGTCTGTAAAATGAAAGGGCTTGGACTAGATGACCCGTAAGGTCCCTTGCACATTAGTCGTTTACTTGGTGGTATATTAGTATTTGGTCTAAAACAGTTTAATGTATCTGTACCAGTTCTCCCTGCCTGTTGTTGCCATTATTTCTGTCATCAATGGAAACAACTTGGGTTTGGTTATGATAATCTGTATAACATGTCTTGGTACAGTTTTGTAGATAAGTGTTCCCAAATGCTTGCTGTTGGCTGGCACAAAATTCTTTTAACCTTTAAAGTTCAGATAAACTTCCAAATTCACTTGACTTTCCCTACCTATAACTTTTCCTTTTGCTTCTAAACTCAGAGCCTAAAACACTTTCCTGTTACCATATGCTACCTAAATCTTGAAACACATTTTAAATTCTACATTTCTCCCAACAAGTTCTTTGTTTTAGTATATAGATCTGGACTGAGTTTGAAGTGAAAAAGGATTGAGGACAATGTAGGTACTCACTTGTTACAGGAAAAAACTGAGAGAAATTATATACTATTGGTTAAAAGATTGATTAGGATTACTTCAAGGGATGGTTGAGTTGTCATTTTACATATTTCACTCAGTATTTTATGTCTACTTAAGCAGTGTTGTTTAAATGTTATTGGATAATTGTAAGATTAAAAAAATTAACTTTAGCATTTTACTGATGCCCAACCATTTAATGAAATCATGTTGCAGGAATGGGAGAGTATTCCATAGCTCTTGTTTTACTGTAATACGATCAAGTATATCAACCAGTAGTTTACTATAAAGATGAGACTTTAGTGTTTAGCTGATTACCTGTAGAGAGTATGGCTGAGCTTATATGCAGGAAATTTCCTGTGACTAGAACGGTTTATGGGGACTGTGTTTCCAATCTTACTTGGAACACTAATCATTGACTCGAAGGGTTACTTAAGAAAGCAAAACACCTGCTTGTTTGGTATGTTGAAATATCAATGGTTACTTTAGAGTGCTATATAAACTTTATCAATCAATATATTCTTTTTTTTCTTCCCCTTACACATAATGTGAACTAGTTGTAGAAAATTAGATTTAGTTCTTCTAGAATTTGTATAAATATTTGTAAGCTTTTTTCCTTCCCTTCCCTTTTAGCCTTTTAAAACAAAAATGTCCTACAAGAAATTCTAGCTAATTAAATTAGTTCACTCTTTGGTCTTTAATCTCAGGGCTTCTCTCACTCTTCTAAAGCCCTATAAATAAACATGAAAATTCAATCTAGGATTAAACCATCAGGGAATGATGTTTGTAAGGCACAAAGAGAAAATTTCCTTTTCCCAGATCTCAGGAACTACCTTGTTCTTATTAACTTCCTGAACTGGCTAGTTACTCTAAGGTATGTATATAGGCTTTTAGAGAAGAGCAGTTTTTTCTCTCTGTCTGATCATTATACATCTATCAGATGACAGCAGATTATCTTCCATATTAACTACCTAAAAGTTCTAAGAAATAAATCTTGGTGAAATGACTGCCATTCTCAGTAATTTCTAATTGAAAACATCATACTTGGTTAGTAGAAAAAGTCTTAATTTGGTAAATAACTTTCTTGCAGTTTATCAGTAATATGTACTCATTACTTAGTGTAATTGAAAGCATTTTTTGTGGGTTTTTTTTGGTAGTGATTTATGATTGCTTCTAATTCCTCCTCCCTATGATCTTTATATCATCCATCCACTTATCTTCCCGTCATCCAGTTAGTCTTCCTTTGTATACCAAGCACTGTCTCATTCTGATGTGTTCCTTTTTATTTTAGTTGTTAATCATTGTACTTAGTATAGAATTTTATGTCCTATATTAATTAAAGAATGAAGTGGTTATCAAATGGAGCTTAAGGAAATTAGATCCAGCTCACAATTTGAAATCTTTGGGAAATTTTAGAAGATTGTTCTTGCTTTTATTTTTATCGACAGTATCTTGGAGTTTGTTCATAATTTCTTAAAACTACTTTGCCTACCCATACTTCTACAACAGTTTACTATCTTGTCAGTTACTGCATTTCCTGAGCAGAAATTGTAGACCACAGCCTTGCTGTAGCACCGTGATCTTTGTGGCTTAATGTTTTAAGGAAGCATGATGCAGAGAGTTTTGTTAAAATTATTTAACCCAAAGCTGATTCTTTGTGGAATTCGTCTCAACTTTGATTTTGATTCCTTTCCCAAAGAGATTTTTTTTAATGTTTAGAAAACTTGGCGATCAATTTATGGTGTGATTCAGTTTTTAGATTTACTTACTATTTTCAAAGTTTTTTTTAATAGTCTTCTCTTTTTCCAGCAGAGCGAGATCATCATTGCCTGAATTTAGCTTTGTGACTACAACAGCAAGACCTGTTCCTGTCTGGAGACGACTGTTATAATATCATCCTATCATTTTATGTTTGCTCTTTATCAATTTGAATAGATGTTTACATGTACGATAATTCGCATTTTGTCTTTTCGCAGTTCTCTAATTGGTACATCTGAGTCCAGAAGTATGTCTGAGTGTGTGCTTTGTCTGACCTTATTCTTAAACGTCTTCTCCCCTTACTTTATATCCATTTATTTTTTAAACACTAAGGAAAAAGACCTCTTGGTTTCCTAATATGAGATAAGTTCAGTCTCAGCCAAGTTGAAAATTGTGTCTAGGAAATCTATAAAGCCATGATATTGTGTTCATTAGCATGAACAGTTTAGAATGAAGAAAATGATTAAAAAGTTAAGCATGGGTTTGGTTTTAATATCTCTGGGTTTTAGGATACATTTCTGGGATTAGTAGAGTCACTTAAATAGTTTTGAACAGATGCGAAAATACTTTTTTATACACTATAATAACTTGCCTATTTCTTCTAAATATACTTACTGAAGTTGTTGCCAAGGCCACTTACCCAAGTAATATTTTTAAAAAATTTCTTAGCTCTTCAAAACCAACAAAGAGAATAATTTTCTTTCCTTTCAAGTAATACAGGATGATCTGTGGATTATAAATATTGAGAAATATCTATTAAATGTCTGATTTACACAGTTTTTCCATATTTTCATAACTTGCAATCAAGACATCAGAGACAATCTTAAAAGCAAGGGGAAATTGTGTTGTATGTTTAACATTGTTAAAGATTATAGTTTTCCTGTCTTAAAAGATGTATGTCCATATTTATTTATAAGCAGTGTGGCTCAGAATTATTTATAAAGAGTATGATTAAATCTTATCCTAAATATTCACCCAAAATACCTTTTTTGTAATGGGCACCATATAAAGAAGTTTTCAGAAAATTAATTTATGAATATTTCTTCACAGATTCTCATGAGGCATTTGAGAAGTTTGGAAGTTGTACTTAGTAGCAACTCTTTATTAGAAAAGTCAAAATTACACTTGATTTCTGTTTGCCCTTGGTTTTTTTTTTTTTTTTAGTTTCATTCAGCTGTGCTCATATTTTCATATTTTTTGTGCCAAGTTGACTATTCTGCAAACACTTCTTTTTGAGTATGCAATGCATTTGTCTTCATGAAAAATAAAAAGAATGAACATATCAGTCATAATGTAAATGATCTGTTTTGATCCACATTAGTTGACAACAGCTTCCTGAATATTAGGCTTGGTTTAAGGGAAGAGTACATATTTCAGAAAGTCTTCTAATATAATTATGACTTGATAGTCTGCAGGGCATTTTTAAAATTAGACTTTTGTTTTAGTTCACATTTGCAAACTAACATATGGCCACAAGGAGTTCAGAGACATTTTCCCAGATTAGTTCAGTATTTTTTTTTCCTTTTTAAGAAAGAAGATTCTTTTTCCCTGTGCTAGTGATTTGCTTGCTAGGTTAGAAGCCCAAAGTACGTAGTCTAAAGAGACCATGCTTGTTAACAGTTTCAGTTGGTTCTTGGATGTGGACCACATACCAGCCCCCTCAACTTTACTTTGCCATCTTTCTTTTTTCTTTCCCTTGCTTTTAAATTAAAAACAAAATAAAGCAGAACAAAATTAAATATGCCATTGGAAATCAGAAGTCGAGATGATTTGATTCTCATTAAGATCATTGTGCTTTTTGAAAATTTCTGTGCAAGCCAATAGGTTGGTTACACATTTAAATTCCTCTATGTTGATTAATTAAAGATGAGGATTTTCATTATTTCATTTTCCTAAATAGGATTCTCATGGAGCTGTGTGTAGATAACTGTACAGAATCACTTTTGTCTAATTGATTGAAGCGGTTTACCTCTGCATGATTGCATTATGGAAGCCTTTTATATATCTTTATATTTTTCAATATTCTTAGATTTTACACTATTAGTGGCTCTAGTCATGCTATATTTGTTTTTTTTAAATAGAGTTTATAAATATTTATGCTCAAAATACAGATCAACTGAATATTTTTGATCTTGTTTACAAGATAATACTTTAAAGTGATGCAGCCCCTCAAGTGTCTTAGGAAAAAGTTATTGGTGCTACAAAACCTTTCAATATCATTTTTGAACCTGTTATTTAGACTTGGCTAGGCTTTAATATATGATCACTTGTGACTTATTCAAATCTAGCAGCATAATTATAAAAGTGGTCTGTGGTAAGTCAGGTAAAGAGCCCAGCCCATTAGAAAAACCCCGTAATTTAAAGATACGATACAGAATGACAGTATACTCATTTGTGCCCAGCTTCCAAAAAAGGAAATAGCCTTTTCAGTTTGTAATTAGCTCTTTTGATAAGAGAATTTAATCTGGCTAGAATAAAAACAATGATACATTCAGCATGGCTCAGTTTTCCCGTATTTCACATGGAAAACTTTTCTAGTCCTAAACATGGTGTAATCCTGCTCTGCTTCAAATTCCTATCTGTCTTTTGCTGAACAGGAGGCAGGGTAGTTATAATTCTTAAATATTTATAGAACATTTGATGAGTTGAAAAGAGATGTATTATTTACATTGAACAAGTTTTGCGTTGGTTGTGTAGATTGTTTTCCACATCTATAAGACTCATTCCAGCACCTTAGTGAATGTTCTACAGATACAATTTTTAAGTATCAGCAAAGCATTCATAGATGCTTACTTTTGATCCTCAGAATCCTGAACCTGTTTTGGGTGTGTTATTACTTCAGAACATGTTATCTGGCACAAGATTTCCTTTAATAAGTGGTTTAGTTGTACTCAATTTCTGTGGATTGTTGAACCTAAAAACACCAAAGGAGTCTTTTCTTGTCTGGAGACTGGATTGTTCCAGTTTTTAATACCTGTGCCCATAAGTATCCCATTTCACGAATGTGTGTTGGCATGGGGAAAAAATTCCCTGCTCTTTGAGTGGAGCGAAAGTAATTGGTTAAGCTGTAGCAGCTTTTTTGTTTGTTTGTTTATTTTTCAAAATGATAATAAAACTTGAACTGAAAAAGGTAAAACTTGAACTAGAAAACTACTCTTGTATGCTTAGAATGTTTATAGTGTTATGTGTTTATGTGGGGTTGTCAACATTTTTATTATTTATAGTTGAATTATGTTGTTTTGTTTGTTAAATATCCATAATGTTTATTATTTTTATATTTTGAAAATTTTTTAAATAAAATAGTCTTACTAAAAACAGTTGTTAACTTTTTAAAATTGTCCTGCATCTTGTATCAGTTATATGAAGTGGAAAGAAAAATTTGCAGCCCTCAGGCACTGTACAGTTGAGAATTCTGAAAATGCTTATATATCTATACAGCTGACTCCAGGTTGCCTCTTCCCCTCTCTACCCTCCATTCCCACTTTAAATTGTTCTAAGTCACCTTTGTTACCAGTGTGTTGTTGGCCTGATGACTCCTTTTCTTACACATACACACATCCTTCATACCCTTTTCCCCAATTCCTGCCTCTTTTCCGCTAGAATTTCTCTCTTTACTCTCTTTGGAGGGCAAAATGCTTGTCCTTATCATGGGTCATATACTATTTGTGATGTCAAAGATAGACTGCCACATATTCTGAAGTGAAACTAGATGCAGAGTGCTTATGTGGTCAGCCTCCAAAGCCATTGAAACTTAATCGGAACTTTCCTCCATAACTTTCAGTTTTCATCTCAACGTTTTTTCTCCTGATCTGATTTGACCTGCTTTTCCAGTATTCAGCATGTTCATTTCATATTTAATTTCATTGAATGATAAATATTGCCATATTCTTTTGTTTTCATTGCAGATATGCCTTCTATCATCTATAACATGGGTTAAATAAGTTTGGTAATAACCTGTCTTCCACTTGTAATACTGCTTCTACAAGAAAATACATTATCATCTTAAAGTGCATAAGTCTTGATAAAAATCGAGTTAAAGAAATCCAGTAGAGGAATAGTAGAGGACTTTGGTTAATAAATAATGATGTACTTAATTAAATTGTTCCTAAAACATACTAAATATAATATATACATATCTGGCCCTTGTGGAATATTTGCAGATCGAGTGTGTTGTTAGCCGTACACTTAACCTGAAAAAATATTTCTGCATGAAATATGAATTTGGTCTTAATTTTTTTAAAGTCACATGTAATATCTGTTATTGTAGAAAAGCTAGAAATTAAAAAGGATGATAGAAAGCCTGTATTTTATAAGTGGTCACAGAACATTTAAAAATGGGGTTATATAATGTATGCTGTATTGTAGTCTTTTCATTTATGATAATAGGTTTATACCATTTTTACAGCCCCTCTGTAGATAAATCCTAATGTATCAAGTCAATCCTCATTTTAGGCAGGTAGGGCCGGCCTTTCCATTTTTTTATTTTAATATAAATGATGCTGTATCCTTGAACATCTTTGATTATTCCTTCAAGATGAATTCTCAGAACTTCTGGGCCCAAGTATACTTGTTAAAATTCGTGATACTTTTTTCAGTTTGATCATTTACAAAGGAGATAATGTATAAACACCTAGATACTTAAATATTTTTGCTTTGAAGAACACTGTAAGTTCAGTTTTTTGCACATGTTAAAATTTATTGAATTCATTTTTTGAATTCAAATTCAAATTTATAGAATTTTAACAGGAACAAAATTATTCCTGATATAGTAGTTCAGCTCGGATGCTTTAGTTGGCACTATTATTAGTATTTTCCACAACATATCATTGCCAAGATTTTGTACCATAGCAATTTTTTTCCTTGGAACTACAGATTTTTATAATTTTGTTATGGCATTTTATAAATTTTCAAGAACTTTTATAGTCTTGTAACCAGTCTTTTGAAAGGTGGGATGATAATCTTTACCTTTATTAAATAAGATTTTTTAAAATGGCAGAATCAGGACTTGAATTTCCATTTCTCAATACCGCATCCACTAGAAGAATACCCAAAAACCATATAATTTATAGCAACAACAAACTCCCCATATTTTTTTTATCTCAACTCTCCAAACTGCTTTTTCCAGAAAAACATAATTTTCCCCATGAAATTCATGAACATTTATTTCTGAAACATAAAGCATGACATAGGCTGAAAGAAAATTTTATAAAAATGGGAAGAAGAGGTCCATATGTATTTTTCTTCTATGTCCTAAGCAAAACAAAACAAAAAAATGCTTTTTGAGAAGATAGTCCATTTTCTTGGGAAGAATAAAATTCCTTGCAAACTATGAACATTTTCCTGAGCTATTCATGTAATGATGTTTTATCAATACTTAATATGCTATAGCGTATTACATTAATTCTAACATTTGAGGGTTTGCAGTGTTGTGGCAGAGGTTGCCAGTTTGCCAGTGTTTGATCCATTTTTTAAGCCTAAAAACTGTTATTGAAGTATGCAAGAATGCACATTTTATTCAGTACTAAAGAGGATCATGATTCTGATGATCTAAATTACAGTATGCAGTGTATTTTGAGGACTTTGAATTTAGGACATGGAGTTAATGAAGACTTCTGACATCAAGGAGGGTAGAGTGCAAGTTACAAAGTAAGCTCTTAAAGTCTTCCACATTTTTGAAACATTTTTCATGTTGAAATGTTATTCTAAAGATCTCATTTAAATAAAAAATGTTAGGGACATGACCATCTTTTTTTTTTTTTAAGTATTGTTTATGAGTTAAGACTTAATGGTTATCACTTTTTTTTTTTTTTTTAGAAGTTGGTGTTAGGAATAAATAGAAATTGTAGAGGCTGAGATTTTGGAGTAGAAATGGTTAGCAGTCAAATTGGTACTAAATTTAATGCAGTACTATTTTTATGTGATGAGGTGATCCATCAATTTCACATTTTATCTTTTTTTTATCAAGTTAATATTCAGAGTTAACAGAAATTAAAGAAATGATAGAAAAGAAGATCTCTGGCACTTAGCAATTGTCCTGTCTGAATGAGGTAAGCATTTAAACACCAAACAGGTAACTCTTAACAAAAATATTTTTTGAGTACTGTTTAGCTATGACAACCCTCACATATGTCATATTTGTAGTACTAAATGAATGAAAACTACATATATTAAAAACGAAATAGAATTCTAACCAACCATTCTTTGATTAACCTAGAGTAGGTTTTTAAATTTTGTTCTATCAAGATTTCCAATGAAAAAGAGAGAACCCTCAAAATTGGGAGTACTCATAAAAGAATAGAGCCTTCTAAGGCGCTGAAGATGGGAAGACCAGATTTAGTCCTGCATTTGTGAAAATTCTAATGGAAGGAAAGCATTCTATAAGCAAGTAATACATTTTTTGTCCACCCCCTACAATTGATAAGCCTCATTTTTTTTAATTTTTAAATTCTAATGTTTTATTTATTTCTGAGAGACCGCGTGAGCAGGGGAGGGTCAGAGAGAGAGGGAGACACAGAATCTGAAACAGGCTCCAGGCTCTGAGCTGGCTGTCAGCACAGAGCCCAACGTGGGGCTCGAACCCACAAACCACGAGATCATGACCTGAGCCAAAGTCGGACGCTTAACCGACTGAGCCACCCAGGCGCCCCTGATAAGCTTTATTGAGCATCAAATATATTAAAAACGTCATTAACAACACACTTCCAAGAACACATTATTCAGGGTCCCTCTTCTGTTGCTTATGGGGAAGCACTCAATATAGGTCTGATGACAGCAACCTGAATGAGTTTCATGGTATCCCTCCTAACACCACCATCACCAAAAAAAGACTCACCCTTTTAATCTGCCACAAGAGAACCTCAGCACAATTTATGTTACCACATAAAGTCATAAGCCACACCATTCAGATCTAATGTGCAGCCAACTTCAATTTCCTCAGATTTCCACTGTGTTATATTCTGTAACCTACCTGTGACTCCTCTTGCCTGGGAATTTTCCAAAATATGAACACTTCAGGACTTCCTGTGTGCAGTTCTAACTATGGCTTACCACTTGGGAGACTGGAATTAGATATACAATGCTAGTTACACCCATACATGAAAAAAGAATGGTATACCTAAATGTAAATCTAAATCTAACAAACCATGTACAGGGAGGGCTTGTGTGCTGAAAACTACACAATGCTGGTAAAGACCTAAATAAATGGAGAGATGCTTCATGAGTTGGAAAATCCAACCTCATAAGTGTGTCAATTCTCCAAAATCATATGTAGGGTTAATATAATGAAGCTTGTGAGTGAGCGTGTAGGTAACAGGATTCTTCTAAAATTTACATGGAAAGGCAAAAGAACTAGAATACAATAATTTTGAAAAAGATAATGTGGAAAGAGTAGGAATCTTGATGGGAAGGATAAACACATGGATCAAGGAGAATAGAGATTTCATAAAGATGCACATGAATATGCCCAACTGATTTTTGGCAAGGTAAAAAAATTGGAGAAAATAAATCTTTTCAAATGATCCTGGAACAATCACCATTGGCAAAAACAAAAGAAATGCCCTGTTTCCCGACCTAAGACTCAGTGGATTCAACAATTAACTCTAAATAGATGAACGACTTAAACCTAAAACTATAGAACTTGAAGGAAAAAGATAAAGGAAAAAAATCTTTGAGATGTGGGACTAGGCAAAAGTTTAGACTTGACACCAAAAGTATGATCCATAACAGCATGATAAATTGGACTTAATCAAAATTTAGAACTTGCTTTGTGAAAGAATCTGTTAAGAGGATAGGCTACAAAGTAGAAGAGATTATTTGCAATTCACCCCTAGTATGTGTCAGTACTGGATACAGAATATATAATTCTTTTTTTAAATATATGTTTATTTTGAGAGAGTAAGCAGAGGAGAGGCAAAGAGAGAGGGAGAGAGAATCCCAAGCATGCTCTACACTGTCAGCAGCACATAGCCTGGTGCAGGGCTCAAACTCATGACCGTAACCTGAGCTGAAACCAAGAGCCAGACACTCAACAGACTGCACCACACAGGCGCCCCCCAGAATATATAATTCTTAATATTTAACACTAAGCAAATGATCCAACTAGAACATAGGCAAAAGACAAACATTTTGCTGAAGGTAATGTTGAGGTGGCAAATAAGCACATGAAAAGATACTCCCCATCTGCCATTAGGGAAGTGGAAATTAAAACCACAATGATATCCTTATATACTATCAGAATGGCCAAAAAAAAAAA